TTTTTAGGCCATCAGAACCCATAGATTTAACACTCTAGAAAGTGCTTTGAGTTATTTAATCAATCTTGGATTTGCCTCTCTTGCAAACCATCCATTCCTCACTATGCCTGAGGTTGCTTTGTGGTTTTTCACTTAATTCTATTCTTCATCCACGTGCTCTATCCTAAATCCTGAGAGGAAAACATACCAGCACAGAAAGTGATGAAGCATGTGTTTTTCATTTCACTTTATTAATGTTCCTTACTCTTATTGAGTTGGAATTCTTCTGACAGTGATGGTCTTCAAATCTCTCCTGTTTATTTCATGTCTGTGTCAGATAATGAAAGCTAATGATCTTTAATTAAAATGACTGCAAATGTAAATCAGTGTTAAAAATTGCATCTTCAGGTTTTTGCTTGCTTATTTTGACCTTTTTGGGAACCAGTGTTCTGAACCCCATATATCAGGAGGCGTTGGGTAGTGTAGAAGACTGAATACTAACAGCAGAAAATCAGTTAATGTGGTTGTATGAACACAAGAGGCAAATGTTCTGTTAGAATGGATTGCTGTCATAGTAGAAGTTTCACCTATTAGAACTGGGAATTATTAAAGCCCTTGGGTTAGGAGTGTCCTGAAGAGCATGAGGCATGGCAGAAAGGTTTTGCTTGGATGTTTTGCTTGTGTGCACTGTGGTAGTGCTGATACGTTACTCCTGCGGTGTTGGTTTGGCCTCACTTTGTATCAAAACAGCTTGGCAAAGCTTTCCAGAGTTCCCAGCCCTTCCTCATTAGTCATTAGTCTTGTTCTTCCTTAAACAATTCAGAACTATTGTTGTTTTAATACTGACATTCTGAGGTCCATAGGGAGCAGCATGTGGCTACGCTCTGCTACCTGCGTGCCGCAGACCTTTGGGTCGTATTCCTGTACTGTGTCTTGTTATAACACTCTGTTACAATGCTGTTGCATATTTACTTCAACTGCAAAGCGTTGCTACTTTTCTTTAATTAATTTGTGAGCGTTTTTACAGCTTTTGTATCCTTTTGTTGCCAAACACCTTGCTGAATCAACCTGGTGCCTCAGATGAAGACTGATGCTGGAGGAGTGTGGTGTGTTGCCCAGCAGGTTCAGTGTAACTGCAGCATGTGATGCCTTTGGTAAGTGCTTGATGACCAAGGATGTGGTCTGCTCCTGTGACTGTGTTTGTTGCTTGTCTTGCTGTACTACTCACTCCGGTGAGCTGGTTGTGCTTCCAAGAGGCTGTGAAGATGATCACAAACATGCAGCTGTTGTGTATCTGATAGTGCTTGATTAGCTGTCACCTATTCCCTTGTGATCTCCAGGGAGATGTTTTCTCTCAGGAACCTACTGCTGTAATATTAGGGCAACATGCTGGAAAGCTGGTGAGGGTGAGCTTTGCCTGCTTGCTGCTCAACCCAACCAGCATCACCAGAGCCTGCGGAAAGCCTCCCTCTTCTCATGGGGCTGGGTTTTGTGCTGCCCTCTGTCTCACTTGATTGGCCCCTGGAGGCACCACTCTCCATTGAGCCAACAAGAGGCAGCTAGGATGAGGTAATGGCCTCGGTGCTGGGGTGGTTCAGGTTGAATATTAAGAAACACTTCTACTCAAAGTGGTGATGCAGTGGCACAGGCTGCCCAGGGAGAGATGGGGTCACCATTCCTGCAGGTGTTCCAGAACTGTGGGGATGTGGCACTGAGGGACATGATCAGTGGGCATGGTGGGCTGGGACTTGGCGATTGTAGAGGTCGTTTCCAACCTCAGTGATTCCATAAATGCTGCAGCCTTTGGGGTGGCTGTTGCAAAGAACACTGGAAACACTGTGGCTTATCGGTGTCAGATCTGCTCTTGTGCTGTTGATTGGCTTCATGAACCTCTTAAATGATTTTGGGGAAGACCTCAATCCCCAGCACAACCTTGCCACCCCTCTTTGCTTACCATTGCTCCGTGGCTTGGCTGATGGCAGTGATGCTGGAAGCCTGCTGCAGGCACAGACGGTGTGCTCTCCCTTGCCAAGGGGAAAGCAGACAGCTGCAGCCTCACTGTGCACCACACACTGCCAGGGGGAGGCAGAGGCTCAGTGGGACTGTGACAGCATGAAGGCACGCAGTCAGGATGCTGTTTACATTAGTGACAAAGGTTTCCATTGCTTAATCAATTGAGTTGATCAGAGCTGAGATTCTGTGTTTTCCACAGGTCTCAGTCTGCAACTCATTCAGGTTAACCTGTGTGTTTCATCTCCTCACCCCACGTACTTTGCTCACCATGCTGTTATCCACTCTCATTTCCAATTTCACACTGATATGCTCTTGACGTATTTATAAACGAATTCTTATGTCAATCCACTAAAAAAACAACCAAATACGTTCCAGTGAAATATTTCTCTACTCTGTCTCCTGTTGCTGTGACAGTCTTGATTGCTACTGAGCAAAAAGGGTGGCAGAAGCTCATGTCAGCACCAGAACATTCTGCTTTCTGCATGGTCAGTGCTGTGAAGACCATCCAGAGCCTGCTGCTGTCTGTGTTGGCAGTGATTTTATCCATACCATGTTTTTGATAGGCAAATCTCAAAGGCTTCTACAGAGAGAAGTAAATGAGAACACATATGTGCTCGCTCAGCTGGGGAAGCTGAGGCATAGGAGTGCAGTGATGAGCTGAGGATGAAAACGGTTCCCTCCAGGTCTCTTAGCTGAGCTTTCCTCAGGGTATTGGGGCAGTTACATCAGAACTTCATGTTCTGATGTATCTGTGGATCATCTCTAGATTTATCTTCTTCTCTGTCCGGCTGGGCAGGATGAGGCTCAGCCTGGAATGAGTAACTGGATGGTTTCTGTGTAATTAGTCACCACTCATCAGCTGGCCTGTAGTAGTTGGCTATAAGAAGCTAGTTGCCTGTCCTTAGTAAAATGGCATGAGCCACAAGAAAGGAGCATTTTTTCTTTGCAGTGGGTGGGGAAAATGAGAATGGTCTGTTAATGTGATCAGCTGACAGATGGTAACTCACAGGGGATAATTAACTGTTTGCTGGTACAGGATGTTGAGTGTGTAACAATGCTGTCAGTAAAGACATCAACACAAGGAGAGGATTGGGTGTGTGATACGGCTCAGAGGACCAGAGCACGAGCTGACTGCAAGGTGATGCTAAGAGGAGGATCTCTCCCTCCAGTCTGGAACTAACGAGGTAGAGACAATTAAGTCCATCTTGCTGAGGGCCAGCAGCTTTCTGCCTCTTGCCTGTGGCAGCATGGAGCTAAAGGAATGGAAAGCTGCCTGACATCTGGAGGCTCTGAGTGCTGGGAAAGTTTTTTGCCTCCAGACTGAGGAGAAGGGGAATATATTAGGAAAAAATTATGGGACTTGTAAGTCTGGTCTGTCGAGAGCATTGAAGTAAGGAGCTTTTCTCCTGACTGACTTTTCTCCTTAGGAGAGAATGAGCTGCAGCGAGTGAGCAGCAGCAGAGTGACATGATTTGGTGGCCTGTGTCACCAAGACAGCAAGTGTGCTCCCCAGGTCTGTCCTGCCTGCAGGGCTGTCTGCTATTTTAAGAGTAGAAGACATGGAAATGATGTTGTTTGCAGGCAGCTCTTATTCTTGCTGCTGCAACAAGCTCTGGGAGGGTGGAGGGAAAGCAACCTCTGTGTCTTCTTGTGCTGCTTCTCCATATATTCTCAAAATCCTTGTTTCTAAACACAGCTGTCTCAGCAGTGGGGGTTAAGCACAAGTGCATGTGGTGCTGGCAGGATAAGGAGGATGACCAATGAGTTGGAAACCCCTCCTTTCCTTTGGATTTCGAGGACTCCGTGTACAATTTAAAGGAGGGGAGGAAGTCATCTGTACTGAAGATTTGTCAAACTTGTTCCTGGCAGATAGGTTGGTTTTATCGACTTGCTTGACATGTAATTCCATGCAGTGTATAGATGTTTATCTGATGTTTACTCAGAGGAAGAGATTTCCTGCCCATTCTAAAAATTAAACTTGGTGTAACGGTGCGTTTGCTCAGGGAAAATGAATGTGAAGATGCTGTCAAAGTGTCAGGTCTGTCTGGAACAAGGGTCCTGCAGGAGACAAGTGGCATTAGTGTGTTCAGAGATGTTGCATTTAAAATACCAAAGTGCTCAGTCTTGGGGGGGCCATGTTAATTGAACTAAAAGAGATGCAAAGCCCAGAAGGGAGATGGTGTTCACATCTGAAAAGGCAGAAATGCTTGCGAGTGAGAGAGTCAGAAGAGGAGATTCCTGCTTTAAAATGACATCAGAAGGATGTGAGTAATTGTTCTGAAATTAGAGTTTTCCACTTGAATCATTTTATGGAGCTCCAGTTATCTGAGGGCTGCTCTGAAAGTAATGCCTCCTATTTTATGATGTCAGCCCATGCCATCAGAAGCAGATGGTGCTGGTATGGTAGTAGAGGCTGAACCTTTCCACCAATATCCCATTATGTTTTGTTGCTGTGTGACAGATGGCAGCAGAGGGGCACTGACACAATGGCGTTCAACATGGAAGTGTGGATGAAGCAGAAGTATGCAAAAAAAACAAAGGCAGCCATTGACATTCATTGATATTCGCTGGGTATCAATAGGGACCAAATAGTGGATGTTAGCACAGAAAGTTGGACTGTATGGGCAACATTTTCCTCACAACAGTGCCATCGTAGCAGCTGTGGAGGACCATGTGCCAGATAACACTGTCTCTTCTCTGAAGGCTCAAAGCTTTTACAGCAGTGAAGTAATTATTCTGAGTGTGGGGAAATGAAGGCAGGGTGACGGTGGCTGCTGCAGCCCACACCCAGAACTGCTGTTTGCCTCAGCCTTCAAGGAAGCAAACCCATCTACATCTGTTAAGCACCCCTTCTGCACCGAAATCCACTGATTTCATAAGCCTTGCCTCTGCCTTGTGTAACGACTGGCTGGAAGAGCAAGTCAATGTTGCTCACGTTGAGGTTTGGCCTTGTTAAATACAGATAGCCCGCTGCAGATGTGTTGTTTGTGCCAGGGGTCAGCATAAGCAATGCCTGGAGTTTGCTTTTTTCAGAGCGAGCTTTCTGTCCTAGCAGTTTGTTTTGGCCTTGGACCCTTTCTCTGCTGCTGTGAGCTTAACAAGATCCTCTGTCATTCTCCAGGGAAGCTTTCGCACTCAACGCTGCGGGTTTGAATTGGCTTTAAATAAAAGGTGTTCTGTTTCTGAAATGCCCTGCTCTTCAGAGCTCTCTGTGTGCAATACAAACAGCCAGCAGACAGAGCCGTTCCAGGTGAAGTGCCCGAGTGCGGTGACGTGGCAGAGAGCTGCAGGGAAGTGTTTGCAATTGAGTCCCAAAGGAAAATGGCTTTGTCTGAAAACCCACCATCTGCAGGTGATGGCTGAGTGTCAAGGTGGGTCTTGTTGATTCGTTGGGGTGGGAGGTTTGTTCCCTGCTTCAGTGCTGAGCAAGAAGGAGGAACAAGCAGTAAAGAGGAGATGAGAGCTGAGAGGAAGGAGTTTAAAGCAGGCTTCTGGCTTTTTTCCCTCTGCTAACGCATTGTCTCCCTGTATCTAAGCCACTTGAATTTGCAGCTTGCGTGACTTATATCCTGTGAGGAGACTTATAGCCTCGAGAACTCAGCCTGACTTCGCGGTTATGTTTGCAGAGTGAAAGCCGGGTCAGGAAGGCAGATTTGTAGGGTGGGTGAAGGGAGCTGTACAGCTGGGCTGAGGACATCAGCCTCTCCCACCAAGCCATGCAGCCCTGTGTGGAAAGATGATCTGTGTCCTGTGGAGCCCATCCCAAGGAGGGGGAGATGAAGGAGTGTGCCTGCGCAAGGAGCAGGGCAGGGGGGATGCAGAGCTGATGAGCTGCCCTCAAGCAGCTCTGGAGGCTTAAATAGCTTGTGTATCCAAACATGGTGTGTCTGTGGCCTGAAAATCCATTCTCTCCTCCTGTCAGCAGGTGACACCGTGGCTTCAAAGCAGCTCTGTGTGTCTCATGTAACCGTGCTACCTCTAAGCTCCTCCAGCCTGCGTCTCCTGGCATCTCTCCAGTCCCGAACAAGTGAATTCATTTCCCACTTGATAGCAGCTAGAGCAGCTCCTTCCAGCATGGGGAGCCCTGCCTGCATGCTCTGCTGAGCAAGGAGAGTGCTTGGAGATGGCTGTGCAGCTCCCTGCTGTGCCTCAGAAGGATATATCTATATTTTTAGGGCTTTCCCCCACTGCCCCCCTTATTTGAAATAGGAAGAGAGAAGATTATGGCACTTGATGATTTAATCAACATAATCTCCAGATAAAACATGCTTCTGCTATACTACTGGGAGATGCTCATTTATGCTGGCATGCTTCTCCTAAGGTAAATTAAATCATTAGTTTTAAGACTAGATTAGCTACGTGCATCTTAAAAAGGCAGTTCAGTAGTTATAAAAGCTTCTCAGCTTGGTGTTTCTTGGAAGTCATCAAGCTCTTTTAACACAAGAGTCATGAGACATGAAATAGAGATGCAGTGCTGAAATGTTCAGTGCCCTTGGTGCTCATGCAGGGTGCTCAGAGCCAGCTGCCTCCTGCCCTGCTCTCAAGCCACTCTCCCAGCTCATTGGTTCCATGGGGAGCTTTTGGCCCAGGGCTGGGGGGTAGCAATTGTTCCTTCAGTCCACCCTGAATCCTGAGCGCCTGTTCTCCACTGCAGGGCTGAGCAGAGGTGTGTGCATTGAAGGAGATCTGAGCTGATCACTGCAGCATGGGGAAATCCAGGACGATGCATTAACCTGTTCTTGGCAGTGCACCTGAGCACTGCGTAGCCCACATCCTGGGTGATCAGCTGGTCTGTTACTGCCCAGAGCAAAGAGAAATGATGGAGGCCCTCTTAGCCATTTCTGGGTTTTTATGAATGTGATAACGATGTGCTGTGTGCATCCACTTTTCAGCATTTACCTCCCCAGTTCTGCCTGTGCATTAATGCTCTCCATCCCTGGAGGATTGTGCTGCCCCTGTCTGTGCATTTAGTATGCATCTGGCTGTGGGGCTGGGCTGTCACAGGCACAGATGGAGGGAGCATGGAGCTGTGTGACACCCGGGGAAGCTAATAGCTGGCTGAACTTGGGATTGCACAGTTAAGTCTGGCTGCTGTGGCTCTCATTTCTCTAATAGAAGGGTCATTAAAAGTGGGACAAGGAGCCAGCAGAGAGGTTCCATCTGGGCTCCTTGAAAGGTGCAGAGCAGCATCAGGTTCAGAGATGGACTTTGCTGCTCTCAAGCTAGTTGAAGGCATTTGGTTCTGTGCTCACTGAGGATTGATACAGTGTGAGGTGATACCTCCATGCTGCTCCTTCTGCAAGCCTCGTGCTGTTCTGTTGGTACCAGCAGGGCAGCCAGTGCCTCGCTGTGATTCCCACAGCTGATCTCTCGAAATTGTGCATCTTTCTCTGCTTTGCTTCGTCTCCCTGAGCCATCTGTGGCACCATGTGCTCCGGTTGGAGGGGCTCTGACTGCTGGTGTGTGTGTGCTGGTGGCTCTGGAGACACAGGTAGTCCTAGGGCAGCTCTCTTGTGCAGCACTTACCATTCTGCTGCTGTCTGACAGTGCGGTGCAAAAAGAAAAAGCAAGTCCTCATCGCTTCCCGAATTTCCTTTTTCCTATTGGAATACACAGAGGCATTTTTCTGCTTGGGTATCTGGAGGTGAGTGTGCCTTCCATGGAGCAGAACGTTTGCAGGTGATTTATTGCAAGATGTAAAGGCAGATGTGTGATAAGTTTAGAATGGGGCAGCTTCTGGAGGCTTGTAGTTTTTTGAGGAATAAAAGCAGTTGAAAGGTCCCTTTGCTGCCCTATAGAGGGGCCCGTTGGTGAACTCAGGTTCTTTTCCCCTTGCAGCACCTTCCTGCATCCCCTTTAGCAAAGGGGCTGTGCTCCCACCCAGAGGAGAGCATTTGCAGGCTTAGAGGCTGAGCAAGAAAAAAGGCCCAGCGCTGTGCCGGCGTGGGCAGGTCGCTGCGTTACTGCAAAAGGAGATGAGAAGATCCCCAAATGGTATTTGTTGTTTCTGACTGCAGACATCAAAGGATCTGTCACTGATGGTGCAAAAGGGGAAAATATGATTTCTGGTTTGATCAGGCTGTTTCACTCTTACAGCTCCGCAGGCTCCAGCCTGACTAGACGTGAAGTGCTGTCAGATGCTTTGTCTGCTTCGCCTTTTCCTCTATGCAGACTTTTCACGAGGTGGAGGAGAGGCTTTTAATTATAAAGGAACCAAAGTGTTTGCAGTCCCCCCCATGCACTGATGGAGACACTGGGGCAAAGCTGATCTGCAGAATGAATTGTGGCATGGTTTAACGTCTCTCTCAAGCTGTACTTCCATGCCAATCACCCAAAGCTCGCCTCATGGCCAGGGGGAATCGGGCAGGTCTGTGTTTGGGAGCACGGAGAGCCATTCCCCTTTTCTCCACCCATGCAGGTGCCTGACAGAGAGCCATCAAACCAAACGCAGGGGATCATTTATGGAGGTGTTTGTTTGAAGCTGAGTGGACAGGAATCACGTTTCAGAGCCGTAAGAGAAAGAGCTTTTAGCTGTCGTCTTTTTTTCCAAAATAGCAACCACATCACCACGCACCATGGGGATGTCAGGGTGAATCTGTTTCACTGACAACAAGATTGTTCTGTCTAGACTGGGAAGCACTGTTTAACTGACTGAGTCTGCAGAATAATTTAAAGGCAAAATACTTTATAGACATTAAGTTTAAACTAAAAAAACAACTAGCCTGACACAGATGATGCTTGATGGATAGTTTGCGTGGGGGTGGGATGGTGGCTGGCTTTGTGATGGTAGCAACTGACAGATGTCTTCCAGCTGCAGCAGCCAGGGATGGGCAGTGTGAGCCTCTGGTCCATCTGGGTGGACCCAATGCAGGTCTTGTGTGCAATCCTTGGATCAGCCTTGAGTTTTGTTTTGCAGGGTGCTTAGCCCAGCCCTGCCTGCCTCTCGATGCCTCGCCACAGCGTGCTGCTGGCTCTGCTGCTGCCGCTGAGGGATGCAGAAGGGGTCGTGTGGAGGGGATATGAGCCTTGCATTTGCCATCTGTGTGGAGGGGCTGGCAGCCAGGGCTGAGCCACGGATACGCATGGTGGTGAGATGGCAGCCCAGCTGGCAGGAGGAACTTTCTTTTGGCAGAAAAAGAAAGATGAAATATTAATAGCATGGCTCAAAGGCTGGAATAGATTTTTATTTTTTTTTTCCCCCCTCCTTTAGAGGAAGGTTTTCGCTCAGCACTGCATCGATGTTGCTTAGAAAAGCAGCATCCGCTTGGAGCAGGAAGGATGCCAGCAACCTGGAGGGAGCCCAGCAGCAGGCTGGAAGGGGAGGCACGGCCCTGGGATGGGCTGTGCTCTGAGCTCGGGGCTTGGCTGAGCACTTTGGATGCACCACAGCCCTGAGATGTGTGCTGTAGCCTTGTTTGGCTCTGGCTCAGTGGCAGGAAAATAAAAGGTTTTCTTGTCTCTGTCTTTTCAGGTCAGGGCTGAGCCCCTCTGTCTGCACGATGCCTTTGTGTTGACCACCCTGCTTGGCTGAAGGAGATGGAAAGTGGGAGAAGCAGAGGGTTCAGCCACAATGCCTGTCTGTCTGCCAGCTCCCTTCAGAAAGGTCCTGCTGGCTCCTGACTTGTCTCTTCTCAGATCCCGGTGAGTCGAAGCATCTCCAGGAGTCCCTGATGGCTTTTTAAGGTGGAGATCATGTGAAGGTTTTCTCTCAGGGGCAAGCTCTTCTGTTTGCTTCTGCTAGTGAACGTGGGGGAGGGATTATTGAGAGAGGGCCTTGCTGCCAGGCAACTTGATCTTGAAGCAGAGGTGTGCAGTGTCCTAAACGCCTTAAAATTTGAGGCCTCTTACATATACACACATTTTTATGTGTGTGTGTATATGTATTTCTCCTAAGCAATCACCTGACTTCTTTCTGTGCCTTAGTGGAGCAATTTGGTCACTGGGTAGGCGGCAGAACCAGCATCCCAAATGGGTGCATTGGCAGGGAAGCAGAGAGGAGAGATCGCAGTGAGGAGGATTCAGGCTCAGTGCGTTTGCCAAGTGAGCTGGAAGGAACTGAGTTAGGGGTGTTTAAATCTCTTCCTTCTGTTTCTTTGACATCTCTGTTCTGCTCTCGCTCTGCTAGCTGGTCTGTGCCAGATTCAGAGGTCCTGAGGAGAAGAGAAGACACGAGTTCAGCATAGTTGGAAACAGTCTGCAGCACTCCTAACTTAAAAACTTTGCAAATGCTGTCTGTGAATGCTGCTTATTTCCTCATTGAGTGTCGAAATGAAGCATGTTGTGGCAGATAGCACTTGTTCAGGTTCAAGCAGTGGGTGAGCAGTGAAATGGGGTTTGACCTAGAATCTAGCTTCGGTGTGGCCTTAATTCTTGGCCTCATCTGGCAGCACAGGGTAAGGGCAGACAGCAGGAGGGGGCCCCGATGCCCTCCCCTTGTGCAGCCTTGTCTTCTGTGTTCCTCTGCCTGCCGCCCTGCTGCTGTTGCCTTTTGATAGACAGCATGATTAATTACACTGCTCACAGCCTCTGAAAATTTATTTAGGGTTTTATGCTGGCTGCTGCTTACACAATGGCAAATCTGCCGTGGCTGTGTCCCAAGCAGGTGGCAGCTAATAGGTCAATAAACTGAATCGCCCCATTAGAGCTGCTGAGCCGGGCTGCTGTGTTGCAGGCAGGTAGAGAGGAGAGCTGCCGTGCTGAGGAGAAGTCAGGACAGACCTGTTCTAGAAGAAATGTGTCTGGCCATACTGGTTTGTAGGAAATCAGTCACTTCCCTGATAGCATCCGCTGCTTTAATAGATCAGTTTTTTCACTATAGCTTGTCTGTCTAAAACTTTCCTCTCCCTGCCTCCACTGCTATCCTATAAAATGGTCTAATAGGACCTTTTAATCTCTGAGAGCTTTGGAAATCTTTTTTTAGAGATTTTTATCGCCTTTTCCTTGGGTTGTACAAAGAAGAGAGGCTGGCGAGATGGTCATCTGGGGGAAAGAGAGAGCTTGGAACAACAAAAAAGCCCCTGAAAATGCTCCTAAAGTCGAACAGAAATCAGCCCAACTTGAAATAGCCAGCAGCCACACAATCAGATTACCCAATCATCTCTGCCTTTGAGCATTTTGAATCTCAGTGCTGCTGTCAAAGAATTGAAGGTGGCATGCCTTGAGCAGACAAAATGCTTGTACCTGCTTTTCAGAGGAGAAACTAAGGCAGGGCAATGGCAGAGGCAAGTGCAAACCGTGCAGTCTTGGCTGGGCTTCTGTCTAGATGTGACTCGGCTCCTGCTGTGTCCTGCTGGTTCATACACAGTGGGATTGAGTTTCTGATGACCTGGTGGAAAGTTACCTGCTAGTGGAAAATGGCATGAGGGAGGGAAGGGGAGTGTGAGCTGTGTTTCTGCATGGCTGTGCCAACAGGAAGGGATAAACCTGGTTTGCTTCACACAACGCTGTGGTCCTGGGGCTGTTCACTGCCCGCCCCTGCAGCATAGCACTGCAGTCAGTGATTTGCTTAAGCCTGCCCTGGGATGCTGGTGGGCTGTCAATGGGATGCTGAGCCTTCACAGCCAGAAGGATGACCTGGTGTTGCTAAAGCTGCTCTATCTATTGAGAGATGTGCCAGGGTTGTCTGTGCTGCCCTCTCATGCCCTACATGCGGTGCCTCCAGCAGACTGCATCCTGTCTGGGAAGGCAGTTCAGGTGTCCTGGCTCCTGTTTGCTCCATTACTGCCCTGCTGTTAGGTTTTAATATTTCTGCAGAGACAGTTTGTGTAAACTGAAGAGTGCTGCATTTGTTCAGTACAGTTTTGTAGGTAGCTTATGCTGAGTGTCACCTTTCAGTGCACAGTGAGCAGTTCAGCCTAAAGAAACATCGCTGATGCCATTATCTCTGCTGCCAGTCCTGCCTGGTAAACCTGTTCCCTCCAGGATGGCCGAGCCCAGGATGCAAGCCACATCCCTCAGCACCTGTGCAGAGCTTGCACTCAGTAGCCACGTGCCAGGTTCTCAATAACAGGCACTCAGAACACCCATGGCTGCTTAAAAACCACGGAATTAAGAGATGCCATGCAAGCAGTATTGGGGAACATGGTGTTTTCAGTGCTTTGGGGGTATGGGCTTCAAGTTGTCCCCATTTTGGAGGAGTAGAAATTTTAATTTTGTGCTTTTAATTTTGTTCATTCCCTGTCCTGAGGCTGGACACCAAGCAATGCAAACATCAGCACTGAAACAGCGACTTGACAGGTTAGGATGTGACTGAGTGCAAGATTGCATTTCTGATCTGTGTCCCTGTAGGCGAGATCTTCTGGGATCTGGTGCCCTTCGTGAGAGATGGGTGCTGTCTTCCTCCCCCAGTAAAAAAGGCTGCTGGGCAGCAGCCTTTGGCCATGCTGCTGTGCTTGGCACATGGGTGCTTTCTTCAAATCCTCATCAGGAGCAGCACAGAGCTGGCTGCTGCGGGAGCTGGGAGCTCATCTCACCAGGCCAGCTGGCTGCGTGCTGCCTCTGACACGCAGCGTTTCTCCTTCCTCCTGCCAAATTCCTAGTACCAATTTTTCCCCTCCATTTCAAGCACGAATGCTGCAAGGGGACATCTCTGCAGCCACCATACACTCCTGGAGGTGCAGATCACAGCAGGAGGCTTGCTGAGCTGTGACAGGCTGCCCCAGCTCTCCGAGCTGAACCCATCTCCTCGAGCTCTGCCTCTATTGCCTGCACAAGCTAATTTCTGTCTGGTGGCGATGCTGAGCTGTTCAAAATCACACAGCTGCTGTAGCTACAGCCTTGCCTGTGGCTTCCTTCTGGGAAAGAGCTTGCTTTTTACTTAAAGCTTACGGGAGGGAGCTGGTTGATTGCTAACAACTGCAACTGCTGCGTTAGCTCTAGCTAAAGGACAGAAGCAGTGGAATGTGGCTGCTCCTGGTTGGCAAAAAGCCCTCACCTCTGCCACTATCTCCAGACAGAAGGGGGCTGGCAGGGGCCATGCATCTCCTGGAGCAGGGGCTGCCTTCTGCAGGCAGTGGTGGGAGCAGAAAGCTGCATAACAGCTCTGTTTGGAGACCAAGAGACTTTGGGGGAGAAAGTGACTTTTATAGAAATAAAGGAGACTTCCTTTTGGGTCAAGTGCTCTGGAAATGAATGGTTTTGAGATAAAAGGCTTTTTACTCAGGTAACGCAGATTCACATTGCCTAAAGGGAAGTCTGCCTTGTGCTGGGGTACTTTTCCCTCTGGAGGCATTGTGATTGCTTTTGAAGATGGGTTTTCAGCGCACAAAGGAGAAGAAAGCCGAGAGGAAGAAAGCTTTTAAAAATACCAGGGGTGCCAGTGGTCTGTTTCAATTTGTCAGCGTATCTCTCTTGCTCATAACGCCGCTGTTGGGTGCAGGGGCTGTTCCTCCTCCTCCCTTCAGGACTTGCTCCTTCCCTCTGGCATCTTGATCAATGGAGTCTGGGTTTCTTTTTTGCCATTCCAGGGCAACCTCTTGCATCCAGAGCTGCTTGGCAGATGGGTGCTGTGCTGTGTTGTGTGGGATTGCCCCTGATGACCTCAGCCTGCTGTGTTGGAGCTGCACCCAGGGCAGGCCAGGTGCAAGGGAATACTTGAGTAAAGCACCTTTCTGAAAGAGGTATGAAATGGACTCTTCCCATCAGTTTGATCTGAGGAATCTCTTGAAAGTATGTCTTACCCTATGGCCTCAGGGTCCACAAGGGTGGTCCAGCTTTGCTAAGCCTTCTGGAAGCATCACATTCTCACTTCCCCTTCTGCTAGTTTCTCCTGCCTTGCCCTGAAGGGATGAGACATCTGCAGGACTCTGCTGCTGCTTAGTGTGAAATGTTGTAAAACCCAGGCATTGATTTCTCAATCAAAGGTGTCTGTTTGCTCCTTGGTCTGTGGCTTTAATGCCTGCAAATACATCTTTTGCTCCCTAACGGTTTGCTTTAAGATTTTGAAATTGACTGTTGTGCTTCGGAGACTGGGGAAGTGAACAGGTTCAATCAAGCCAGTATTATTAGTGCTGGCTCACAGGGGGGGTTGAGCCAGGCAGAAGCCTGGGTCACAGTGTCTGTCGTGTCTCAGGGGAGACCTTTACCTGTGTCTGGCCATGGTGTGGGGCTCCGTTGCTCTGCTGGTTCCTGGAAAGCTGTGGGTCCTTTTGTCCTGATGGTGAACCTGGGTCAGTGGGTGTGTGGTCTGAAGGCTGAAGTTGCAGCTTAACCTATGAACAGACGCCAGATAAACCTGTAGACATTAAAATGAACAAAATTCCACCAGATTTCCATCCGCACTTCTCATTTTCATAGGAGCTGTGTGTGTTCCTTGTTTCCAGAACGCTGTGGTTTTGTTGTTCTGGAGGTGCAGTGTAGATGATGCAAGCCTTGCTGAAATGGAGCTGCTTCTGTGGAGAAATACAAGAGCTGAAAGTAGAAAGGATTCCTACCTCCCAGGGCTGCTGTCCTGCAGGGATGACTGGTGTGACCTAAGCTGGGACTGTCACATCACCTGGGCTCCAACTGCTGCCACTGGTTGCCCTCAGTTTCCCACTGTTTAAAGGGGTGACGTGGAAAACCCTTTCCAAAGACCAGAGATGGAGATGCTCAGCTGGATGGGGAGGGATGTTAGCAGCAGGAGCAGAGTGGAGCAAAGGAGGAGGGATGCTGAAATGCAGGTGACTCTTAGCACTAATTGTATGCAGCAGAGCTGTCTGGGGGGAGGCTGAAGGAAGCATATCAAGAATGTCTCAGCTATTCAAGTGAGAAATCAAATTAAACCTTGTATCAAATAGTGGAGCTGTTCTATGCTAGGAGTTATGTCAAATTCATTAAAGGTTTCTACACACCAGTCCCCCCAGGAGTTAGCAAAGAGAAAAAACAACACTTTGTGTCAGGGGGCTGTGCTTTCCTGCTTACCTGGATATGTTAATGATGTGGGTAGAGGAAGGGAGGATTATCGATTTAACCCTCAAGATACAGGTGAGGGGAGCTGGGACTCCACAGCAATGCTGTTTGTGTGCTGCTGTCAGTGTCTGTCCATGTGTCTGTGCTGCATGGTGGAGGGTGAGAGCCAGGGACTAAAGCTGCAGCAGGCTGGAGGTGTGGAAGCTGCTCTTGTTCCCAGTCTCCTGCTAACAGGCTGGGAGGTGGAGTCACTTGGATACCCAGCATGTCTGAGAGTAGCCTGGAGGAGATGGAAATACCACCATCGTACAGCCAGACTTGCTTCTCATTGGGCATGAGTCCATGCTTGTTCCAGGCAAGGAAAAGCTCTGGACAACGCATTGCTCCCTCCATGGGGACAGATTGTATGGGGGCTGGATGGAGCACAGGCTTGGCAGGAGAGAGCCTAGAGCTGGGATGAGCTGCCAGTGCAGTGGCAGAAGAGTCTGCTAGGAACGTGTGATCTGCAGCATGCCACGGGACTTCAGCTGCAGGGTGAGCTCCCAGAGTTGCACAGCACAGGCTCTGCAAAATCCCAGGGGTTCAGCTTGTAGCTGCTTCTCACGGGGGCAGTGAGGCACTCTGGAGAGCTGGCAGCTGTCTGGAGGTGAGGAATGCTGAGCTTCATCCACTGCAAATGCTGAATGCCAAAGCCATCTCAAGCTGATGTGCTGAGGCCCAGGCTCTGCTAACGCTATCTGATTTTTTTTTATCATCCCTGATGCGTGTTGTGCTTTGACTTAGATGCACTCAAGTGTGGGTTTGATATTTAAAAGTCATTTACAGTACTGCTGCTGTGCTGGCAGGAGAAATTAGTCTGACCCTGGGATGTACAAATCCTCATTTTGGAGCAGAGCAACCTGAGACAGGCAAGGCTTAGTCTGCTCAGGTGCTGTGCCTACTGTTAGCTCTGCACCAGGGCTCTGCAGCCAGCTCGTTGCCTTTCCTCCCTTTTCTTTTTGTTAACTTGTAAGAATTTGTATTTTTAAGTCAAATTTAAGATGCTAAACCTCAATTAAGGATACGTGTATTAATTTCCAAGATGTAATTTGTTTACAGAACATTCCCATTCACAGCAGCGAGCGCTGATAATTGCCATGGTTTGCTTTCCAGCCTTGGATTTGATACAGCTGAGAGCATGTGAAGGTGGCTCCCAGGTGGGCAGTGCTGGCTCCTGGGTGGGAACACGAGGAGCTTACCTAGGAGCTGATTCTGACCTGGGCACTTCTGCTTTTGCCCAAAGCAGTTCTTGTCCTGGGGTCTGGGAATGAGCCTGGCTGTGCCTGTTCCCTCTTTTGTCTGTCCTGTGATACCCTTTGTTATTTCTGCCCCCAGCTTGATCTGTAGGCATCCTCATCCTGCCCCAGTATTCCTGCAAGGCCGAACAAACTGCAGTGTGTGTGCTCCTGGAGACAGAGCTGCAGAAAATCAATGGGGCCAGAAGAGAATGAGGCAGTACGTGCTTGTCCTTCGAGCTGCCAGCAGAGGGGATGGCATCTTTGCAGCATGATGGCTCATGGCTATTTTTTTTCCTCTGGCAGGAGCTATTGCTCTGAGCTGCAGAGATGCTGTACTGAAGCTTTGACATGCTGAGCTCTGTGTCCAATTCCTTCGAAGCACGCTGTTCCATCTACCTTTGAGATGCCAGCTCCTCTAGGGTGAGGTGGGCTGTGCAGCAGAGCTGTCCCTGCTCACACTGTAATCCTCAGCTGTCAGTGTCTTGGATGAGTTCTTGGAGGGTATCCAGACAAACACAGGAGAGATTTCAACTGCTGCGATCCCCTGTCCTATTTTATCTCATTTTTGACAGCCCAAGTCTGCTGAGGTTGGGAAGTGGTGAAAAGAGGAGAGCAGCTTCCTGCATTTGTGGATGAAGAAGCACTCCTTGCTCTGACAGCCTGCTTGCTTCTGCTGTTTCCTGCACTACTGACGGACTGTCTCTTGCCTTCTAGACTAGCTGCATCTTCAGGAGAATGTCCCAGATGGCTCTTCAGGGAAAGAATCAGAGACTGATCGGTGGCCAAAAAAAGTCTCTCATCCAGTATCAAAGCCTTAGCCTCACCTTATGCTTCCCAAGGACAGCTTGGAAAGGGCGCAGTGGAGCTGCTCCTGTTCCTCTTGCAGGGTGAGTGAGTCTGCACAGGACCTGTGATAAGATCCTTGCCTTGGTCAGGCTGGAACAGCTGCTGCAACCTTTCACGCAGCGCTGGCCTTCTGTGGTCTCTCATACCCAGCCCAGCCTGCTAATAAAGCAGTTCTAAACAATGGATTTCACCACTGCCTCCAGTTGGGTTTGATCTGTCATGCCTGTCTGTAGGCACAGGCAGCATTCAGCGCTCCCAGGAACGGGTGGGTGTTCAGGCTGGATTTCTTGGCCATCTGCTGTGCTGCTGGGCCATTTGTTACCCAGGCCCTTGCAGGGGCCTTGATCTGATGCTGCAGAAAACTCTGCTTTGTGGGGAGATTCAGTCTAATTTCTGGGAGCTTGCTGGCAGCTGGGGTGGGAGCTGTGTGGGTGGGTGGGAGCCCTGGCTTTTCCAGGTGCCTAAAAACTGAATTTGGATTGCTGCCTGCCTATCGCTTCCTCTTGAATGGGTGAGAGGAGGCATTGCTCTGGTCCAGGTGTTGATAGGGAACCATGACCTGCTTGTGCCCAGGCTGCGCATGCCAGATTGCTCCCGAGGACTCCTGCCTTCCCTCCCTGAGCTGGAACTCCTCCTGGTGCATCTGGTGCTGCCTCGTGACATGGGGACCATGGATTGAGAGGAATGACTTCTCTCTGTGGCTGCTCTGTGGAGCAAGAATCCGGCCCGGAGCATTGCCTGGCCTTTGCGGGGCTGATGTTCAGCAGTTGAGCTTGGCAGCTCCAGAAATTGAAATGCAAATGAGATGGAGAGCTGAGGGGCAAAGGAGTTGCTGGCTTTTTTGATGCTGACCTCCACTGTCGAGAGGAGAATTGTTAGAGAATTGTAGTCTGGATGTTGCTTGTGTTCTTCTTCCTGCCTTAGCCTGGGCCATGCACTGCCAAGATAAAGGAATGCAATTTCCTCTGCTTGTGTCAAGATCTTATTAAGCATTTCCATAAAGCAAATAGGGAGGGGACAGCCCAAGCCTTAGAGAGTCACTGCAGTCACTGCACAGCACTCTAAACCCGGCAGCCCTCAGGGAACACAGGCTTGCTGGCAGCAGGAACGCTGCCCAACTGCTGGGGAGCTGCACAAGAGCACAAGGCCCTTACTCCAGCCGTTCTGCTGCTGGACGTATGGATGGATGGGGAAGCAGATTTCACTGATACAGATGATCCCTGCTTCAGGCTGTAAGGAAGTGCCCTTGCTCCTCGTTTAACAGGAAGGGAAGCCAACCATCTCTTCCCCACGGCATGCAGATGGCTGTGCCCTCCATGTGCAGGTTCTGTTGGGGCTGCAGGTGGCACATGGAGCTGGCTCAGGGGATGCTGCCAGGTCTCTGAGGTGAGCTGAAGGTGTTCAGGGGGTCTGCTGTGGCCAAGCCTTGCCCTGTGCTTGCTCCCTGTGAATGATGTCAGGGAGGGTGCAGCAAAGCCAGGAAAACCCCCATGCTGTTAGGAAAAGGCACTGTCTGGAAACCATCCCACGTGCTGGAGAAGCCTGGCTTTCTGACAGAAGCGTGCTTTAGATAAAGTGCTTTTGTTGGCTTGTTAGATCTATTATTCATGCCTTTATGTACATAGCAGACCTAGAGAGGCCGGCTGTGGCCTCCAGCCCAGCCCTTAGCGCAAAGGGGACAGCGGAGCCTGGCAGCAGCAGCGAGCGGCTCCTCAGCCCTCCATCTCGGCACTAATCCCCCGCAGCCCGGCTGCTCCGTTAGGGCCGAGCAGATTAGCCGTCCCCTCGGGAGCAGCTCGCTCAGCTTGCACTGAGATAACGGGGCCGCGTCCTCCAGGCTGCTGGGCTCCTCGGCAGCTGGCGGAGCTGCGATTAGCCTCAATTTATGCAGGCTGTTAAACAAACACCTGCGAGGTTCAGGGACGGGGAAGCCAAGCTGTTTCTGCAGCGGCTGGTCGTGTTGTGTTAAAGTGAGAGTGCTGTCCTTTCCTCACTGCGCTCCTGGAGCTCCCGGCCATCCCCAGCCCTGGTGGAACTCATAGAGCTGTGAGCACTGAGCTGGCTGTGCTGGGTTGATTGCAGTAGGGACAAACACAGTTGGGTCTTCCAGGGCTGCTGCTGTAGCCGGCAATTTCTAAACTTGTTCTGCTCTTATTGCTTTCTGTGTTGTTTGCTTGCCCCTAATCCCCAGCAATGGAGCTGCTGTTATCATCAGCAGTGCAATAGGTAGCGTGGCAGGGGCAGAGCGATGTCAACATCTATTGAAGTGTTGGTAAAAGGGCTTAATGTGAAGAAAAGGAAATCTTGTTCCTCCTGAGACCTCACTGGAGCATTTTGTCTAATTAACCTCAGAGGTGATCACTTACAGCAGAGTGGTGTGCCAGCAAAGAGCCCAAAAATAGGCTCTATCCAAGCACAGCTCAAAGGCACGTGGCTCTCCCTTTGTAAAGCTTGGCGAGACCTGCTGTGGAGTAGGGCTAGAGCTGAACATGGCTGGACTATTATTATCTGCCTGGAAGTTGGACTGAAATTGCAGGGGCATTGTTCTGCATCCTATATGGATGTGGATGCATGCACTCATACTGTGCACAGTGCTGGAAAAGAGATCCTGTGTTACACCCATGAGCTCCCAGTTTGGAGAGCACGCCTGCCTCTTCCTTTCTCCCAGAGGAGATGCTGCCGAATGGCTGCTTTTACCAACCCACTTGTTCCTGCTGGGTGGTTTGGGAATGGTGCAGCAGGGCCAGGCGCCAGCTGCAGCAGTGCCACCTCCTCCATGTGCTGCATGCTCATGTGTGGGATGTGCATGGATTTCTTCTTCCCTGGGCACTTCTATCAGGTTCTGAGGGAATTCTTTCAGTGATATCTTCTGTGTTTTTTTCTTGGCTTTTCTTTTTTTCACTTTCACAGGTATCTAGAGAAAATCCTGTGTTTCCAGATAAGGATGTGCTGGATTTACAGTTGCCTACCATTGTTAATGCATCCTTGTCTGTGTGGTCATGTGAAGGTAAGATCTGCAGTAACCACATCACCTGCTGTTCTTCTTTTCCACGCTGCTCCAGGATGTTCTCCCTGCACTATATTTTTGCAGTCATTTTACTAAGCCTTTTTCATACAGAGGAGGAAAATGGAGACAGCTCTGCAATTTACCAAGCAACCCGCTGGGGAGCAGAGCCTTGTGGCAGCAGTGTGGCAGTGGCTTTGGATGGCAGCGGGTTTGGGGTTGGGATTGGAGGAGGAGAGCATCTGCTGGCCACCCCTGCTGCAAAGGGGGTGCAGAGCTGCTCGTGTCCAGCAGGACACAAGAAAAGGACAAGCTGTGCATAACGCTGTACTGCACGTGGTGGAGATCAGTGGGTGGTTTTACCCAAAGAGGGCAGTGCCGTGCCACGTTCCTCCCCAGTTTGTAAGGCGAGAACAGTGAGCATCAAGGATTTCTTGAGAGGAAAATCACCGTGGCTCATGATGAGGCAGTTGTTTTCCAGAGGTGTAGCAATTACTTCAAAACAAAACAAAACCAAAGCAGAAACAACAACAGCAGAAAACCTTGCAAGTAACTGTCACACAAATGCCTGTTCTGTCTTCTGACAAGCCGCTTTTCTCACCAGCTTAGGCAAAAGTACACAGCCATCGTGCTGCCCAGCTTTAAAGCACTTCTCCTATCTGTATTCCTGCCCTGACTCACTGCAAGGACAGCTGTGAGCTCTCCTCTCTGCTGGAGGACATACCCCCCCTTAGCTCCCCTGGAGCTGTTGGTCCCCATTTCTAGCAGCTTTCTCATCACCCCAACCCAGGACTGTTTCTGCAGGGAAACGCTGCAGAATGTTGGAAATTTGGCTTACCTGAGGGGACAAAGTTAGAGCTGAGCAGCTATTTACCAGTTGGCATGCTGCTGTCAGAAGTGGGAACTGAGCCCCTTTCTCTATAGGGAGGAGGAGGGGTCCCACAGGCACTGCTGGGTGCTGTGAGTTGCACTCATACTGTATGCTTGCTCTTTGGGGATATATGGGAACAGAGAGGCTTTGCTGTCTGTGAAAGGAAAGACTTCAAACAGCAACGAGTCAACGTTGCCATTTCGAGAGGAACAGCTCTTGCCATGCTGGGCAATTGCCTGAAAGAGGTGAATAGGGCTTTCCTTAGGGGTTAAAAGCTCTAGCTCTGGTTAGGTGTATTCATGTAGGCTTTTTCCCTTTCGAAGAAGGCAGATGAAAAGGGCTCTGACTCCTTTAAATAGATCTGCACTTCCTCCACCAGCCAGGAGCTCTATTAGGATTGCTTGCTGCTCCTTTCCGCCCAGCAAGGACAGCTGCCAGCTTAACTCTTAGCCCTCACATTAGGAGCAGAGGGGCTGAAATGAAGAGCTTTTTCCCTCGGCAGCTATCGAGAGGAAGAAGTTCGCTGCTGCTTGCTGGTTTGTATTTGTTCTGTTAGCCAAAGCACAGAAGCACACGTGGGTGTGAAGTACAGCTGGTGCTTGGAAGGCCCTGGGTTGCTGGAGGGGCACAGAGGGTCCTGGGAGCATCGCCTCTGAGCAGGCTCCAGCTGGCTCTGAGCACGGTGCCTGGATGTCGGTGCTTATCCCACAACTCCTGCTGCCTTCCGTGGCTTTCGGGCATCGATGTGAGCAAGTGCTGCTGCCAGCTCGGAGCTGCTGCCCTGGCTTAACGTGGGAAGGCAGGAGCATCTGTCCCCCACTGCTTTCCTATTAGCGGGCTGCTATAAGGCAAAAAGCCATCTGCCTGCAGAGGTTGGGGTCTGTGATATTTGCTAACCCAGGAAAACGCTGCTACAGGAAGGCGGTCAGGCATGAAGGATGAGAGATTCTCTTTTCTCAGAGTTCACTGAAATGGGAATTTCCTGCAGGTTGCTTTCCCATTGACCAGAGAGAGATCAGACCCATGGTTCATCTGTACACCCTTCTTAGAGCTGCTGAAGAAACTCAAAATGGGGTGATGGCCCCATGTTCCTTCCTGGACCGTGCTCTCTCTCAAGGTTAGTGCTACTAGCTAGGGCCTTGTTTTCACAGGCAGCCTCTAGTGCCAGGTTCTTGCTGATCTTGCTAAGCACTTTTGCTCCTGAGGACATTCTGCAGCTGGTTCAGAAAGGTTTCCACAAAGCACAGTCATTTATTGTGAGCCAGCATTTGCAGAGTAATCCCATACAAGTCATTAGCTGGGTTGCTGGAGCTTGTCCTGGGATCTGCCCAGGGAATCCCAGAGCTGCCTGGGGCTGAGTTGTACCTCAGCTCTGTGCTGAGAGCGTGACCTGGGCCATGGTAGGGTAGCCCTGGCAACGTTGGTGTGCTTCCTCCCATGATTCTATTTAAATTCTGCTGTCTCTCCTTTATCAAAATGGTGTAGCCAGCTAATATCCTGATACAAAGGGTGCACCCCCCTTTGCCATGCCATCTATCTGGTGATAGCAAGGGCAAGAGCATCACATTCTGGATGTTCATAAATTATAAGGGAAACAGCTTTCTTCCTTCACCCTTTGAACTTTTTTTCATTCCTTCATTGTGTTAATTAATACGTTGTTTAAGCTGTATGTCAGTCCCTGTCCTTGCTTGCTTTAGATGAGGCTGGCTTGTCAGTGCTTGGCCTCCTTTTCCCATCAGCTCGAGTGGAGCTGTTACATGTTAGTTCTCCAACAGCACTTTGATTACCTCTCATAACACAGCACTGTCAATGCAGACTGACCAATACAGCAGTTCAATGAGTGTGTTGCTCTTGACAAGCCTTATTTGCCCTGGATAAGTCAGGTAGAATATCTTCAGCTGCAGGTAATAGGCAGCAACATCCTCTCTGTGTGTTATCTGAAGGTTTCCCGATCTCTCTTTCACCCGAAGGGGCTTCCTTGTCTCCACTGCAGCAAGATGCAGAGCCTGAACTAACTCTGAGCAAGGAACTGTGGAGTACAGGAACAGGAGATCTGCTTTAAGTGAGGCTCTTGCCCTGGGTAATCATCCCATCTTGAGAAGCACAACATACTATCTTAGACTTCTCCCCAAGGAGTGTTGACCAACGTGCATTTGATGTCTAGGAGCTGCCCTGGCAGTGTGTGGGCCATCATCCTCAGCAGGGAACCAGAGACAGCAATCACTGCTAAGTGTTAGATGATAGCATGTTTTGCTGGCTGCTTTGATGCATTATGTTTTCCACCATCTGTATTTGCACTGTGTTGGAGGCTTGCTTGCCCTGCTAGGGCTGGGCTGCGATCCCTCCAGCACTGTGAGCAGCCAAGTGTGGTGTTTAGAGGGTGGAGAGGAGATGGCAAGCTTTCTTTCAGCCGTTACTTTGCTATGCTGATGCCTTGTCTCCCCACACTTGCTCATTTCTTCAAATATTGCTGCTCTCAATGAACTCTTAGCAGCTGTCAGTCCCCGTTCCTGAAGTGATGTGCAATTCTGAGCTCCCTGCTGTGGTTGGGATGGTCCTTGTGCTGACACTGCTGGTGCTCCCTGCTCCAGTAATTGGCCTGTTGTGCTTTTTTAGCCTGCAAAGCCTCCTTCCCAAATGCTCCTGAAGAGCTTCCTTTTGGAGCAGAGCTGCAGGAGACAAAACAATCTCTGCTCTTGCAGAAAGAAACTTGTGTACCTGGATCTCTCCCCTCAGCCACTGCTGCCCTGGATGGTGTTTGTTGGCAGGCTTTGCTCCCAGTGCTCCTGCTTACCTCGTGCTCTCCCAAGAGGAACAAGTTTCACATGATGGCTTTGGAAATAAGTCAGGGCATGTGCCTTGGGCAGCACAAAAGGAACTGGAAACCTGAGCTTTGTTTGCATGCACGTTGTTCCTGGTGTTGGCAGGGATGAGCCCTGGCTCCATGCAGCTGCTGTGACTGGTTTACTGGGCATGGCATGCGATCCCTCCTCCTTGAAGGACATTCACTGTTTTTTGAAGCCATGACTGCCAGCAGAGGTAAGATTCACGCTTCCTGAGAGCAGCAAGCTTTTTGTGTTTGCCTCCCAGCTCGGGTGAGCAGTTCTGCGGGAGGGCAAGGAGGGGAGCTGCACGCAATTACCTGCAAACACTGGAGAGCGGTCAGAGGTCCCACTATCAGCCATGGCCCAGATGTACTGAGTGAGCCTGCTCCCAGCATCCTTGGCTCCTGCAGATGCACGTGAGCCAGGCTGACTGTGTGCTGCAGGTGGAGGAGAAAAGAAGCCTTTCATCTGCTCGCACAGAGCAGGCTGTCAGCCAGCTCATGCCTGCTGTTTGGTTCCCTCTGCCACAGCCGGAGCAGGGAGGTGGGAGCTGAGCAGCTGTGCCCCTCCTCAGGGATCAGCCCAGGGTGAGAAATGTTAGGGGGATGGACTCTGCTCCCTGTGTTAGCAATCAGATTGCTGCTGCAGGGTTATCTGTCAGCACTGCCTTGGGGTCACAGTGTCACACAAGAGTCCCTCCTGGAGGCACTCCCATGAGCCAGGTGAAAGCTAGCTGATTTATCAGGTGCTCTCTGTGCTATGCACCCTTCCCAGTGTCCTTGGGATATGTGAGCCTGGATTCAGGCCCTTCTCCTGCCCTTCACAAGGTGTCTCTCCTTCCTACATTGACACCCTCACTCCCTGCTGCTGCGGCAGCATCCTCCCATGTTGCTGTCTCAGCTGTACTGGCTCTGCCAGAGCCGTGCCTCTCCTCCTCCCTGCCCACCATGCCGTGCCAGCGAGCCCAAACCCACTGTGCTGGTCGCCTGATTTGTTTTGGTTCATGTTCCAGCTGAGGATAAAGTTGCAGATATTTCTGTGCAGCGATAGGATCTCAACAGCCAGCCTTGCTTTAATGTGATCCCAGGCATTCGAGGTGCCCCATTACCTTATCTCCCCTCTGCAGATATCTGTTACTCACCACTCTCACCCTAAAAGCAAGCCAGCCTGGGAGGGAACTGCAGAAGCTCAGCCTCTGCAACCCTGCTGTTGGGCAGAAAGCAGTAAGTGAGGCTCCCATCCTGCTTTTTCTGCACAAGATTCCCTTCTTTCTGCTTGCAGTGCTGTGTGGTGCAGTGGGGTGGCTGGGAAGGCTGCGTCACAGCTGACTCACACTGCTGGTAGGGTGGGAACCCCACGCATTGGTTCCCACCCAGCTTCCCAGGGGCACCTGTTTGCTCTCTGGCTTTGCAGTTCAGCAGTCCATGAGATGAACCTGATATTGCTGCATGCAGGGCCAGTGAGGCTGTCCCTCGTCCCAGCCTTACCAGCTGCATCTTGCTGCTCTCCCACTGTCACATGAGCATTACACCATCTCTCCCGTGGAGAATGAGTGTGGAAAGTGCCTGGTTGCCAGAGCAAAGTGAAATCTGCTCCAGCTTCAAATGCACGCAACCCCAATCTGTGCACTTTGGGTAAATGCTAAATTCTATCTCTAGTTCATGAAGAGGAGAGGCTGATGCTTAAGTGAGGCATGGGCACCAAACACCCAAGCTTCTGCAGCTCTCAGGTCTCCTGAAAGTTCCTTGATGCAAAGAGAAACGTTCCCAGCCTGGGTGAGTCATAGGGCATTAGGTGGGCTGGGTCAGCTCTGAGCAACACTCAGATATAAAGGTGAGAATTGTTCTATTGAATGGCCAAAAAGCTGTTGGTGGCAGAACGGCCTCTGTGAGCAGGCAGTGCAGAAAAATAAGAGGAAAATGGAAGGGGGTGTGGGGAGCTGGAAATCAACAGCAGTTCGTCCAATACAGATCCTTGAAAATACAGGAATTTTGAAGGGAGGTAAAAAGATGTGATGAGAAACTACATGGGAATTTCTAGCAGTGAGGAGGAGGAACTGAATTCTAGCATATTGAGAGGGGTGAAAAAAAAGAGTCAAAAAGCTCTTAGCTACAGGAATTGGGAGAGCAGAGTGCATGTTTTTGTAGTCTGGATGGGGCTGATGCCATTCCCATGTGATGTGCACGGATCTGTTTCTATTCCTGCAGTGCTGGGCGGCTCAGGGTGAGCAGTGCAGGAGCTCTGGGTCACCCCATTGCCTGCGCTCAGGTCCTGAGCTGCGGGCAGCTGCCCACCAGCTCCGTGCTCCTGGAAGATGGTCGATGGAGGTTCGTTGTGGGGTTATGTAATGATTGACCTCGTGGAAACGGGTCTTAGGAAAGCATGGAATCAGCTTAGCTTGCGGACGGCTCAAGCTGCGATGCAGGAGATGTTATCATTGCTGTTAGGAATTTATGCTTTTGTACGGTTGGGAAGCATTTGACTCCACCTCATTGTGTCCTGGCTAGAGAAACAGGCCTGGATCACAGCTTTCCTTGGACCATGCTGAGCTGTGTGCCAGCAACTGGCTGACTCGCAGAGCTGCTCCAGGTCTGCCCACGGCCGTGCAGCTGGAGCCATCATGCCTGTCTCTGCTATAGGAGCCCCCTGTGCAGGAGCTGAGGGAGGAGAGGCAGCGCTCTGCGATCCTTCTGAGCAGCACAGATGAACCCACACCTAATTGCTTTTAAAAACCCCCTGTTGCTATGGTGACTCAACAAGCGTGATGCTCACAAGTTCTTCTCTCCACTCCCAGGTCTTGCGTTGGCACTGGGAAGCCTTGTGTGTACCTATGTACGTACATCTGCTTTCTTCCAGCTTTCAAAGGTGGCGTGCAGTCCCCTTGGAGCGTGAGCAGAATCCCTTCTGAGCTGGGAAAAGATTTGCTTGAAAGGTCTTGTAATAAGGTTAAGGAGAGGCCAACAGCCGCTCGCCCTGCTGCTGAGCACTTCAGTAGCTAAATTTAGTCCCTTGAGTCATTACTGAGTCAGCAAATTGGGGGCAGGAAATCTTGATTTCTCTTTTCTTCCTTTTTCATCAGTGATGTACCCAAGACGGGCTCCAGACTGGTTTCCCTCTCAATCCAGCACACTGCCTGCCTGCAGTGCTTTCCCCTGGAGCATCCTTGAGCCTGTCCAGAAAAAGTAAGAGCTCAGTTCCTCTCTGCTGCAGCCACCTGCCGTGACAAGTGGCCTGTCCTCGGGGAAGCAGCATCGTTTCCTATCATTAGTGATGCGGGGCATGGGAAGCTGTGTCCAGTCAGCTTTGTCTCTTGCTGGGTGCATGCTGGCCTGTGGCAGCTCATGCATCCCCTGGAGCTGCCTTGAAACCCACTGATGGGTAAAGAAACCCCATCCAGCTGCTCTTCTGTGTGCCTGGGAGTGCCTCAGCATGGTGAATAGCCACAAAAGAGCTCAGAAGACACAAGAGATCCAGACGTGCTACACTGACAGACCTGTGCAGCAGCCCTGCTGAGTTCAGACTGGTCTATCCCTCGCTGCCCTGCTGGCCAAGGGGCACCCAGCAGGGATATGGCCTGGCAGATAGATGCCTGCAGGTAGCTGGCTCCTTCCATACATGCTTCAGGGTTGCCAGGAGACTGTGAGACCCTGGGCCGGAGCAGATCAGCAGGTTGTCCAGGCAGCTCAGTATTGCCCCTGGAAAGCAAGTTCTGGCAGCAGAGCCCCTGTTGCTAGCTGATGGTATCAGTTTGTATTAGATCCCACTGAGTGTATTTTACATAATTTGTTTCCCAGAATGAAGTGTTTTTACAAACGCAGCACTTAAGCACCTTTTAAAAAGGAATGAAAAATCACCTTCCTCCCTGGAGCTAGGAAAAAAGCTTAAAAGGAATCAGGAAAGTGCTCTCCCTACAGCACTCACTGGGCTGGGAAGGCCAGAAAACCTGGGGTTGGACTGGAAAAAATCTGAGGGCTCAAAGAGAAGAGCCTGTGCTGAGAACACTGCTGCTGCCTTCACTGCTGTTTCTGGTCAGGACACTCAAAAGCAGGAATTGCTTCGGGTCCCTCTGCAGGAGAAGGGAGCACCACCAGGCTCCGGGTTGCTGAAGGGATGCTCACAGGCCACACTGCTGCTCAGCACCTGGAGATAAATCAGTGCCTGCTGGACGATGAAGGGCAAAGCGGTGCTCCTTGCCCTGCTGTGGCTGCTGAGGATGGATGCTGTGCAGCTGGCTGTGCACTGCGGCCCGGGCTGGGGGCTGCCGCTCTCATTTCTTTTTTCACAGCAAGCGAAGGATGAAAAATCAGAGTAATGGCCAAGGAGACCACATCCACTTGGCTTCTCTTGCCCGTGGTGTGAGTGATTTATCTAGCTAAGGCATTGCAGTGGAGTGAGACCAGGAGCAGGGGGACGGCGCTGCAGCGGCAGCATGAAGGTGTGCTACCCCCCTCTGTGCTGCCTTTGATTTGCTTCCAGGAGGGAACTCTGCTCCCCATTCCAAGCAGGCCCGGTGCTGGCTGGCAGAGCAGCGGGAGCCCTGCTGTAACTAATGAGATGTTTGCTTCTCGCTGCCTGACGCTGCGGTGGGTTCTCGGTGTGCCTGAGCCCTGTGCTGATAAACCAAGCCTCCCGGAGATGGAGCGGCTTCCCTCAGCTACAGGCCTGCTGTGTTCGCTCTTATCTAATAGGATCTTTCCTCTGAGCTCTGCTTAAGCCTCCTGTGTAGCATACCAAACCACTGAGGTTTGATCGTACAGAGAAGCGGTGCAGAGTGAGAGCAGACCTGAGTGTCAGCTGCCCTCCTTTGGGTCACTGTTGAAGAGGACACATGCTCATGGGGGGTCTGCGGGTTCCCTGTGGCTCTGGAAGGTTCGGAGAAGGGAGCTTTTCCCCCAGCCAAACATTTATCCCCTCCTTGCTGCCATTGCTGATTAGAGAATGGGTGTCTGTCTGTCTCTCCCCTGTTATTTATTATGCTGTAAAAGCCAAGGTAACCCATATCAGTAAACGCTGTGGAGGGTTTCACACGTGTCAGCTGTGCGTACTTTATGGAGCAGACACTCTTTCAAGACAACGGGCTCCGTGTGGGGAGGCTGCTGTGATTAATGCTGCAGCGTTCACCTGGCTGCTTCCTCCCTGCTGCCACACTGAGCTGATGTCCCAGGGTGTCCCGAAAATGTGCATGAAGCAGCGTGGGACAGAGGGGAGGGAAAGGCTCTGTGCCTCCCGTTGGCAGGAAGATGAGCAAAGCACACAAGGAGAAGTTTCTTCTCCAAAAAAGCAGCGATGCAGTGGCACAGCTGCCCAGGGAGTGCTGGGTTCACTGTCCCTGCAGGAGCTCCAGAGCCGTAGGGATTTGGCACTGAGGGATATGGGCATGGTGGGGTGGGCTGGGGGTGCTGGAAATTTGTTTTGGAGACATTCAGACCCTTTCCTGTAGGCACCTGCCTGTTGCAAGAGACGTCCTCCATCTGCGTGAGTTACTCTGGGCAGATCCAGCTCTCCTGCAGGATGCTCTCAGTAGTTGCTCTTGGCTGGTTCTGAGGATTCCTTTCTCCCAACACTTGTAGGTGATTGCTTCCTCCTTCTCCTCCGCCTTCCTTTTGTCTCTCTGCAGCACGACAGGTCTGGGAAGGGCCATCTGCCGCTGTGATTAATGGCCCTTTTCTGGCAAAACAACAGAGACAAATGTCCTTCTGAGCATGGCAGAAAGAAGCGCAGAAACAAGCTGGCTAATTTTCAGCCGTTATTTTGGAACCCAAACTCCTTCCCGGTATCAATTTAGCTATTATTTCAAAAACTAATTAATCCTCACTCATGCAGCTCGGAGGGACCAGTGTTTAGATAATTAACAGCCCGTGGATTATGACAGGCCTTGCTCTCGGATCCTGTTACAGCGCTTGCCTTCAAGTACACTCGCGCTGTTGTTCTGCTTACCAAGTCCTTTCATCAATCCATCTTTTTTTTTTTTTTTTTAACAATTAATAACAAATAATTAGCCAGGATGGATTCTATTTGCTTTCTTGCAGCTCAGCTTCGTTTTGGAGGACTGAACTGTTCTTCAGCTGCGCGGGTTTGTAGTGATTTTGGAGCTAATTACAACCAATCAGGATAGGTCACTGCCATTACCAGCATCTGGAAAAGGGAGTTATTATTGCTCAGCTCCTCAGTAAGTGACATGAGGTGTGAGAAAGGAGATGCTTCTGTGAGGTTGTTGATACTTCTCCATCCTGAGCTTCCACCCCAGGAGAATGTCTCTTTGAACTGCCCGAAGCTTCTGTTCTGCTGCTGCTCTGAACTCATCTGAGGAGATTTCTGCCTGTGAATAGATTTGTCTTTTCTAACTTTGCTCAGGAAAGCTTTAGTTATACAAGGAGTTTTCATCTTTCATAGAAGTGAAGCTCGGTCTCAGCCTTTTTCCCTATGAGATGCAGGTCTCTGGCTGGCATCCCCTCTCTTCTGGTTCTCCATGCTGATGGGATCTGAAGGCTCCTGTAAGGCTGGGAGAACACCTGTGGTCCCTGCATCTTCTGCCCTCTGAGCAAAAGCAGAGCAAGGGGCCCAAGCCACCCCGGTTCCTGAGCTGTCTCTGCTTGGGGCAGCAGAAGGGCATCCATCAGGTTGTGCTGGTTTTAAACAGCTGAGCACGGATGCAGACTCACTCCTGGTTTCAGGCAGAAGGAAATCCTTTCTGATAAGCTGCTGCTGTTTCAAACAGACGATAAATCTCTGCAGGTAGAACTCCCTGTGCTAGCAGTTTGACCCCTAATGAAGTATTTACCAGGTTGGCAACTCACTCTGCCTCGGGAAATACTGTCCTTTCACCTGTGTGCAGCTCTCACTTTTCTTTTGCAAAACCCATGGCTTAAGGAGAGCATCAAAGCAGCCAGCAGTCCACTCCTCACCTTCCCAGTCTCTCTCCATTCTCTTTGCAGATGCAGTTTGCCAGAGACCCTGTGGCTCTGCACCTTGGAGGGCAAAGAGCTTGCAGGAGAGCTGCACATCTTTGTGTTTGGGATGCTGTGTCCTCTTAGCAGCAATCAGAGAGCAGCAACCCGGGACCAGGGGAGTGGTGAGCCTGGTGGAAATGCCACTCATATACTGGCTGTGAGCAATGGAAATGGAGCAAGGGGCTGCTGCTGACCCTGGTGTGTGCACCCTGAGGTGGTGGAGGCATCTTCAGAATTGAGCGTTTTGGGAAGGTTGCACTCTTTTGTCCGTGTTTTAATGATTTGTTTCAGTAGGGCCAGGCATCTTCCTCTGCCATGCTGCCATGACCTTTGTGGTGAGATTGTGAGTGGAGAAATGTGCTGAACCACCCCGTTGCCATGGAAACCGAGGCTGGGAGGGGACCAGCCTGCTCCTGCTAATTGCTGTGGATCTGTGACCCCATCCCTCCTGCCTCCTGTAAGTCTGTCCGAATGCACAGCACTGGCCCCATCCTGCATCATCCTGCCCCTTGACTCCCAGCCCCAATGCTGTGAGCAGGATCTAGAGTTTCCTTTTCTCCCTTTTGTGTTATCACAACCTGCATGAGATAAGTTAACACCCATGGCTTGAGCATCCCTGCAGCCCATCACCCCGTGTATGCACATCTGCCTGCATGCTCACTGCAGGAGCACAGTGGCAGTGCAGTGGTGCACCCTCCCTGCATCCCAGGCTGCCCTGGCTTAATCTTGTCCAATTAAATAACTGCAGATAGTGGGCTTAATAAGGCCCTGCTTTGAAAAATTACTGACTATTTCTTTTCCAACATGCAGTGAATTAGGAGTCAGCCTGCAAAGCAGTGGTGAGCAGGAAAAGGACTGCTGCTAATTACTGTCCCTCATGTCCCCTCTGCTGTCACCACTGCTGTCGGGCCCCCCGTTGCTCCCTGCACCTGATTGCATTTTGCTGCTGGTTGTGGCCAATTTGCAGCTCTCAGCTGCTGCTGCTTCTCCCTTCCCCCCACAGCCCCTGCTCCTCTTCGAGTTTATTAATGAAAACCTTATCTGTTGGAGCAGATAATGCCAGAAATAATTAGTGCACACAGAGGGCTGGCAGGCTGCTCTCTGCTCCCACCACCCACACCCTCTCCTCTCCCTGTTTACATTTTCCTGTGCTGCTTGGGGCTGCTTTTTGGGCCTCCTTGCTCTGTACAGATTTATTTGCTTCTCTCTCCAAGTTTTCTTTGCTCAAGACAGACCTGAGACACAGATGCATCCTAAAGAGCTTGGCCTTAAGCACCTGGGCTGCAGGTGCCCTGACCTTATTGCTGCTTGAAATGGGGAGCTGCCCCCCAAAGCCCAAGAGCAGGGATTGCATTTGCTCCTGGCATGCTCTGGTCAGGTCATGGCCTTGCTCCTGCTGTGCCAGCGCCGTCCTCACTTTGCTCGTGCTCCCTTTCATTACAGTTAGCATCATTGTCTCTTGGCTTAAATCTTTCAGCCTGATAAAAGATGACAGCACTGCTCGAGTGCCTGGGATGGCATAAATAATTCCAGTGCTGAGAGAGATTTATGGCTATATAAATGTCAGGAGCGAGCCCGGTTTGTATTAATGGCCTTATTAGTTACGTTGCTGTAAAATACAGATCCTCCAATTGTTAAGCGGCCAAGCTTTTGGTCCACAGCATTAATCCAATAAATTTGGGCTTCTCAATACAAATCTTAGTCCCTGAACCGCACTGAAAAATTCTTCATGATATGTCAGAGAGCTTTAAATGGCTTTGACTGAGACAGAGGTGGGAATAACAGAGCTGGTGGGAGTGCAGGTGTAAGGCGGTGCAGCAGCCCATCCCCACCCAAGGGCATGGGAAGTGTGGAGGTCCCTTGGCCGTGGGGATTGGTTGTTTTGTCGCCAGCTTGGAAGTCACAGCCCAACCCAAAAACTCTCATGGCCCCAAGGTGGCTGTCTGTCCTTCCCACCCTGCTGCCATCCCTCCCTGTTCCCTGGTACATCTCATATGAGGGCGTTTTGCAACTCTGCAAACTTTCCACCAGCGACCTGCCAAGTGCACGGGGAGGGAGAGGGGAAAGCACCACGATAATTGAAAATAAATGGTGCATTATATGATATGAATGTTCTGGTGCAGCCAGCTTGCTGTCGCTGATTATTTATTTGTTACTTGCAAACACTTTGAGGTGTCTAGGGGGAGGGGTTTTGGAGATAAAGTGGTGATGCCTTCATGCAGAGGGAGCTGCGGGCCATGGGGAGCTCTGTGTGACCTGCAGCAATGGCAGGGGGACAGCCACAGCCATTGGAGCAGAGATGTCATTGCCACGAGGAGAGTCCAGAGTGTGAACCCAATGTCTTGGGGCATGTTGGAGGTCTTCTAGGCCCTGTGTGCACCTGTGAGAGGCAGGGGTCTGCAGGAATGGGGCAAACGTGAGCAGGGAGCCTCTGGAGTTCTGCTCAGCCTGAGGTTGGGTTGCTTGCTGTGTCTCTCTGGTGGGAATTTACTCCTGTTTGGTAGGGCAGGAGGCTGCCTAGGAGGGGTTGGATTTAACCTGGAACATGGACCCTTTTGCTGTGTTGGCTCCTCGGCCATGTCATGCTTCTTATGCCTTGACAAGACTTATCCTGGATTATTTTTCAGCTGCTATTTAATCTTGAGAGGGTTGCAAAAGCTTTGAACCACTACTTGAAGACTGAGTGAGTGATTTCTGGCCTTGTCAGACAATGGGGGGGATGTGGAGGTGGGATCCCAGTTGTGCACTGAGTTGCCCTCCCTGGGCAGCTGAGACCTCCGCTCTGTAGAGAGCTGGGATCTCTGCATTGCTGGCTGGGGGAAAGGCTGAGGATGAATATGAACCCCCCGTAGCCTTCAGATGAAGTTGTAGAGATTTTGGCTTGAGATTCTCCAAGTTCTGCTCATCTTGAATCAAACACCATGGACCAGGAGCAGCCTGAGGGCTGAACATTCATTGGGGGATGTTCATGGGACAGCAAGGGGCAAACCCATCCCTCCCAGCTCACTGAGGCAGGGCTGGCAGAACCCAGACTCTCTCTGGCCTCTGCCATGGTGCCATCAGATTTCTACATGCAGTGTTTTGGGCAGGCAGCACGCTGGCCCTCGGCACACTTTGGTTTTAAGCCACCCTGGTTCAGTCTGCTCTGGAAGTGGACTCATCCATCACTGCCAGCACTGCAGGACCATGGAGCACATCTCGCTCGCCTGCACTGCCACAGCCCCTGAGCTCCAGGCATTGCCTTCCTCACTCCAGTAGCTGCCTTCAAGTACAATTCACTTTGTTATTAATTTCTTTTATGCTGAGGCTCTTAAAGCCCATGGGAATGGGGACTTGGGTCACAGAGGCAATCTGCAGCTGAGTGCCTCTAAAAGCCATGGGCAGAGAGATGGAAACTTGCAACAGGCGCGTGCCAACCTCATGGTTCTGGGGGCAGTGGCACTGGGTGAGCTGGGCTCAGTTCAGTCCCTTGGGGCTGGAACCCTGTCACCATCCCAGCCCTGTGCCCCCTAGGGGCTCTGAACCCCTTGGAGTTGGAAGAGGAGCTGTCCCCCAGCATCCCCCAGCCATTAACAGCCTATACCAGTTTGTAAATTATGTTATGGTATGTTATTTACAGGCCATATCCCAGCCCCATATTAAAGACACAATTCTTATGGGCAGACAGCAGGATGCAGTTCTCTCTGGGATTCGATTGCTGCAGACTGCCAAAATCCTTGAGAAATGTTATTTTGGAGTCTGCTCCTCCATGCAGGGGCTGTGTGCCCCTCTCATTATCAATATCAGCACACTGGACCCCCCCCCCCCCGGGTTCCTCCTCCCCAGCCCTGATGTCCGTATTTACAGCTGGAGCATGCCAGGCTAATTGCTAATCAGTTGCATGCAATCAGCTCATCTCCCACCATCTCGGGAAGGGCCGAGTGCTGAAGGTGACTCCTGCAGGAGTTCATTTCTTCAAAATAAAGGTGACAGTCAGCACAGGTTCCTTATCTGAGCAGCAGATACTAAGCTGTGGGGCCAGCAGATGCCCTGGCTTGTGCTGGGCTCTGTGGGCTTTGGGCATGCACTTCTCTCTTGCATGGAAGAACCCAGTGGGTAGAACATCCCTGGTGGTGGAGGGACGTGCCTGGATCTCCTGCTCTGCTCGCAGGGAATGGCTGTGGTGTCTCAGCAGTGTGGTGGCTGTGGACTCGGTTTTGGGGACCTCGGCTCTGCCATTGGTGGAACTGCTGGGGCCAGACTGGAGGCAGCCCCGTTTGTGGGGTAATTAATTCTCTTTTGATCATCTGCCATGTAAATCATCAGCGGCTAGGAGTTAATCATGTGTACGAGATGAATCTTGCTCTTGCCTTAATGAGCGCCGAATCGTGACCGGCATCTGCTTACTCCCCACACTTTCATCTCCTGTACAGTGTGAACAATTAATTCTATCTAATAATCTCCTCTTTATTCTATTAAAAATAATAATAATAATAATCTGAGGGCAAACAGCCTCTGCTCCCCTGACCTTTGTTGCTTTGGTCTCAGGCAACCACTTGCTCTTCTGGAGCAAAGAAAGGGGCTGTGGGTTCCACAGCTGGGGTGGCACATCCCTTCCCTTGGAGCTTGCTTGTCCCCTGTCCCCAGGACTAATCCTGCTGGTCCTGGCACAACGGGGTCCTGCCCTGCTCAGCTGGGAACCAGAGGGCACCGAGGGTTGCTTGCAGTCCCTTGGTGACATGCAGTGATGTTTTGCCAGAGGCTCTAAGTCCAGTCCAGTTGGAAGGAGAAGCAAGGTCAGCAGGATTTGGGGCTCCTGGATGCGTTCCCTGTCACATCGGTTCCCGGGCTGTAATTTAGTCTGGTTTAACTGGAGCTTAAATTAGCCCGGAATGGAACGGAGCTGCAGCTGCATTCAAAAACATCTGAAATCACAGCGCAGTAAAACATTTCCGCGTTCCATTAAAGCCTCTCAGCAGGAAGCGTCTGCTCCCCAAATCCTCTGCTTCTTCTCCGCAGCTCTGAAAGCCTGCACAGCAGTGGCTGTCCCTCAGCCACCCGTCCCCAGCCTCCTTTCTCCCCATGTCGTTGGCATTCAGTTCTCCTGTTTATTCAATTAGTGCCTTTCTGCTTAATTATCTGGTTAATGTGAACATGCCTAATTGCTGCATTGGTGAGAGGGGTGCCTGTGCCCCTGCACGGCGCACAAGGCCATGAAACTGTACGGAATGGACGCTTGGAAAAAGCCTGCTCCAGCTGATGGAGGGAGGGATGGGTTGAGTTGGGATGGGGCAGCCCCATGGAAGGGATGGTCAGGGTGGCATAGGATGGGTTGGGATGGGATGGGAAAATCACCATGCAGGTGGTGCCAACTTGGTGGCAGTGGCGATGCCACCAGCTTCCAAAATGTCCACCTTCCCACATCTGTAGGGCAGTGCGTCTCCCTATTTCTATTTCAAGGGAAAAAAAGGGCTTTTTCTCCTTACCCTTTTCTCTCTCCCCTCCAAAGTCACCTCCAAAGCCTCATCCTTGGATGTTCTCAGCTGTGGGGGGACAGTGAACGGACCCAATGGTGGGGGACTGTTCTTGGGAGCTTCTCAATGGGAAGCTTTACATCAACTTTCCATGAAATGGATATTTCTAAAGGGAGAGCTGAATGCTGGCATGGGAGGGATGGACCCAAGACATGCTGCATCCTCAGTGTACAAACAGAATCCCCCCACTGCTGGCTGGGGCTGGCTTAGCAGAGGGAATAATTGGTAGGTGCTGCTGAATGTAATGAATAGAGGGTACTCACAGCCTTTGTTTATTGACTCTTGAGTTGTAATGAATACTTCCAGAGGTAATTATTGATTTTCTGCATTTGCAGGAAACCTGCTTGGCTGGGAGATGGGTGGAGGTGGATACAGGGAGGTTTTGTGCAAAATCAGGCTGCTGAAGAGCCTTCACCCATGGGGAGCAGAGTGGGAACAGAGGTATGGATGGAGATGCTCTCAAAGTCACAGGGTGGTACAATGCCACTGTCCTGGCCATGGGGCCACAGGGACAGGCTCGGTTCTGCTTTCTTGGTTATTTGGGGACTACCAGAACCAGTGGGCACGGAACAGCAGCTGCAGTGGGCAATCAGCATCCACCGGGTTCTGCAATGTGTAAAGCACAAAGCAAGCAATCCAAAACCAAGGAAAAATACGACATCTATAGAAAAAATATTTGTCCGACTCCAGGACAAACCCAGCTTTATTCACTCAGGAAGGGAGAAGAGATTAAAATGTAATCCTGGGTAAACACATTTTCTGCTTTCTTCCCCTTGGGTACCTCTCAGCAGGCGCAGATCCGTCCTGCTGAGCTCCCTGTGCTCATCCATGGCAGCAGCCGAATGCCCCGGGCAGCTTTTGGCTGTCATCTCCCAAATCAAAATCTGGGACTGGGGTGGGTAAGGGGGGGCTGGGCCCTTAGGGTGGGGGGAGAAAAAGGGGATGGTGCTTCCCCCCCCAGGGCTGCTCCCTGCAGGATGTGGTGCTGGGACTGTGCTGGTAGTGCCGGTAGCACCCAGCATCGCCTCTGCTTATTGCACAGAGCTTTTTCTGGGCATCTTATGTTGCTTTTTTGGGCTGTTTATTTATGAGGCAATTTATTAGAGCGCAGTTATTCTATAGTGGGGAAATGTATTCCTAGGAGCCTCCGTTAACAGAGCCAATTGCTTAATTAGCTCGCTGATGTCTCCATGAGGTACGCCAGGAGAGGTTTCTGCTTGTAACAATCACTGCCTTCCCCCTGCACACACACCACCCGTGCTGCTAATTTAATAGTGCAAATATTTATTATCCCCAGTGTTTGGCAGCGAATCTGGGGGTGTTTTGAGCAACTCCACTCTCTAGCTCCAGGGACAGGGCTGGACTGGTGGGGATGGCTGTGGGCTGGGGGGTTAAAGAGGGGAATGGTGGAAATGTTGCATTGTGCACAGGGTCCTCGGCTGCAGCTGCATCCTGCAAACCTCAGGGCAGGCACCAGTGCCCGATTGGGCATTTGGGCACCAAGCTGCAGCGATGGGATGGAGCTGGCCCTGCTGCTCGTGTGTTTACCACAAGATGCTCTCAAGTCCTTTGTGATTTTTCTTCTTTCTCTATTGTTCCTGGCTATTGTTCCTGGCTCCATTATCCCCCGGTTGCTTACATAAATCAGCACGTGGCTCTCCGAGACACGACAGGGAGCAGCGCATCCATCCAAGGTCACTGTCCCTTGTGCTGCAAGAGACAAATTCCCTCCAAGGGCCGTGAGCTCCGGGATGCTTCCTGCTCGGCCGAAATGGGCCCCACGAGGACCATCCTGGTGCTTCCAGCCAAGGATGCTCTCGGTCCAGGGATGCTCCCAGCAGAGCAGCGGGGGGAGGCGGCACCGGGGAGGGGACAAGAGCGGGCCCGGCCCCATTCCCCGCCTCGCTGCCACAAAACGGGAGCCGGGAGCCTGCTCGGCTTCACACTCTCCCCTCCAGCCTTACCGAACCGGAATATCCCCCATTAAACCTCGGACTGAACCCAAGCCGGCACCGAACCGAGCCGTGCGCGGTCAGGAGGGATGTAGAGATCAGCACCGCGGAGAGCGGCCGCGCCGAGCCGCGCCGGGGCCATGGCCAGCGTGCAGCAGGGCGAGAAGCAGCTCTTCGAGAAGTTCTGGCGAGGGACCTTCAAAGCCGTGGCCACACCGCGACCGGAGAGCATCATCGTGGCCAGCATCACCGCCCGCAAACCGCTGCCCAGGTAAGGGGTGGGGAACCCTCGGCTTGGGGGCTGCTCCCTTCTGCAGATGTCGTACTTAAGGGCTGGGGTCACGGAGGCTGCCTGCGGCTGGGGGATCTGAGCTTTCTGTTCCCTCCTCCCCAAGTGGGAAACTTTGGCTCTTTGGAGCCTGGAGTAGTGTGATGGGCTGGATTGTAGTTTTGGGGTGGGGGCTCAGCCATGCGGCCCCCAGCACACGTCCCTCTGGTTGTCTGTCCCCCTCCTTCCCTTGGAGTCCGAGCCCAGGGCAGCAGGGTCAGACCACACAAAAAGGGACCGAGGGGCTGCTGGTTCCTACTGAGCTCTGCTGGGATGCGCAGGGATTTGTGTGACTTCCTCACAACAACACATCCTCAAATCTAGAGCATTTTTGTTCTGTTGGCTGTCACAATATTGACTAAGAGCATCTTTGCACTGTTTTTCAAAGGGAGTGAAGCTTCTTTCCGTTGCTCAGTGTCACCAGAGTTTGGTGAAGGTGTTGGATCGGTGCAGGAGAGGGCTGGGGGATCAGCCTGCACCAAACATCCCAGAGCCAATGGGGACCCACACTGGGGTCTCTGAATGCTTCCACTTCTCCGTTAGTGATCAGTCAGGTTTGGAAATTGGGGAAGCTCAGCTTGGGGCACCATGGGCAGCAGTGGCTCTTACAGCATTTCCAAACCGGGCTGCGATCCCAAAGGTTTCACTGCAGAACTGATCTAAGAGCAAAGCCCTCTGTGCCAGCAGGCAGAGGGATGAAGGGAGCAGGGAGCCCAGCACAACACCACGGTGACCATCTGTGTCCCTGTTTCCTCCCAGCTTGGCAGATGCGGGCAGCGTGGGGTTCCCATTGCAGAAAGGGATTTTCCTCCTCCTGGAGGGGTCCGTAGGGTTCTTGCCTTTTGGGTCCATGCGCAGCCCCAGATCAGAGTGCTTCCCCAGGGTGCCCCGGCTCTGCAGATAACGCCTCTTCCCTCCTAATTCCCGACAGGAGCTCTGGGAGGTTTGCAGGGTTAAAGCTCTGCTAAAACCACATTTCATCTGGAACAAAAGAATACATTAATCCCACCCGTGGCCAGCCAGGGGCTGCGCTCCGGAGTCTGCCCTTGACTCCGTAGAGCAAAAGGGATACTGAACACTGTGGCACAGAGCTGAAGTCTCTCCTTTTCCATCTCCACTTTCTTCTTGCTGAGTCTTTTATTTTAAGGCAGTGGGTGGTTGTTCATTATCGTCATTACCTGCGCACAGCCCCATGGAGCAGCGGTGGGATGCTGCTTCTCCTTCCATGGGGAGCTCCAAGAGGCATGGGGCTGCCACTGCCCACTGGCATCCACTGGTACCCCAAGTACCAGCCGCTTCCCTGCTGCCAGATGGCTGAAGTGGGTCACCCTGGGCCAGTGCAGGGATTTATTTTAACCCCTAATCCCCCAGGATGTGTTGTGCTACACGTGGTTTCACTGCCCAATTTGCAATCGGCAGTGATTTTGGGTTGGAATGGGACCCAGCTCTCTGCCACCCCAACCCGCAGCTCGTCGGGCACATCACTGGTTCCTTCATCCCCACCATCCTGCTCGGTCCCCACGTGTCAGCACTGGGCTGTGCTGCCGGAGGGCCCCCGGCTCCGCTAATCCCCCCCTTGTCCATCGGGCATCTGCTCAGCGGGGCCTGGCTGCCATCTGCTCCTTCCCGCGCCCAACGAGCCGCAGCGCTAATGAGCCCATGGCTGCAGCCCAGCGGGGGGAGCGGGCCTGGAGGAGGAAAGCAGAGGGGGGAGCAGCAAAGCCCCCGTGCTCGGGGCGCTGTCAATAGGGTGGCTTTGTCAGCCCCCGCCCGCCGGCTCCAGCTGCACGGCGGCTGCGCTCATTAGGCAGCTCGAGGGCTGCTGGGGGTGAGGGCAGAACTGGGGATGCCCATAGGACCCACAGAGCCTTCCTCCTCCTCATGATCCTCTTCTGTCAGCCCCATCCCTGGCTTGGCGCTGGAGCGATTCCCAATGGTAAAAGTTCATTGGTCCCCAAGGGCGCCGTCTGCATCCCAGGGCACGGTGTGGCAGCACGGGATCTTGTGGAGCTCTGGCATAAAGTGAGGAGCTGCAGGGCTTTGGGTCCCCATCGGGGTGAGGGGCTGCAGGAAACCACATCAGGCTAATCCCCCTCCCAACCCATTCCTGACTCCTACTCATGAATGGGAGATGTGTCCAAAAAAATGACTTAGCTCATCTTGGCATGACAGGACCGTCTGGAGAGGGCTCATAACCCTGAACCACTCCTTCAAGGTTTAACTAACAAATATCTGGGGCTGTGAGACGTGGGCAGGTCAGTCCTGGGAGGGTTTACCCATCCATAGGGCTGGGGCTCTCCTCTCCCCCTCCCTGCCTCTCTCCCTGCAGCCGGACCTTCATGTGCATTTTTCCATAATATGAACTTTCCAAAGGCAATCCCTTCCTCAGTGAAATGAAATCATTTCATGCATGATTGCAATTCTTCGTTCTCTTTTTATTTCTTCCTTACCTTTTCTTCCCATGGCCACTGAAACCACTCTGTCATTGCAAAGCCCGGAGCGGGGCATTAAATCCCACCTGTGCCTGGGGTTGGCACTGGGGGTGGGCACTTTGTGTGACCATACAGCAACTGAGGGGCAGCTGGGTGCCCAGAAGGGATGCCCCAATTTGGAACCCATTGGTGCTCAGCAGGCAGAGGAATGGGGCCCGATGGCACAGGAGCAGTGATGGTGCACTGGCGCGATGCAGCCCTGGTGCCACCACCTCCCCTCCACGGGTAAGCTGAAAGTGCTGACAAACACTGGCAGTGTAAAAATAGCAATTTTTTTTTCTTTTTTTTTTTTCACAAGTGCCTTCCCTGCTAGTGCAGGGACTGCGAGGAGAGCTTGAAGAACTGGAAGTGGGAACAAACTCTATTAAAAGAGAGAAAGGTGCTGGGGAATGCACTGCAGTCCCTGCACTGTTCTTGTCCTTTTCTAGGGACAGTGGGACTGGTCTGAAATTGGTTTCTTTTGGGGCAGATTTGGGTTGAAAACGACCTCTTTTGGGGCAGGGTTTGGCTGAAAATGGCCTCTTTTGGGGCAGGAATGCTTGCACAGGGCATCTTGGGGCTGAAACAGTCCCTGAGTCCCCATGCTGAGGTTGGGGCTAATTGATCTGCTGACAACCCCGTTCAACACTCCATGTTTAATTGATGTCTCTCCATTAATGAAATGAGCAGCTGGCTGCAGCTGGCCTGGCTCCAGGCTGGTCAGCAGGACCAAGGCCATGGGGCTCGGTGCTGCTCCTCCGGGGTCGCTCTGCTCACTGCCCCCATCCCCACTTCCCATTCCTTTTCCAGTCCCCCATTTTGGCTCTCAGCTATGTTCCTCACGGAGCAAAGGATGGGGCTCACCTTGTTGTTCATGGTGCAGCAACAGCCGAGCCAGCACCCCGCTCACCCTCCCCACCGCTCTGCTATTGATTTGCCCTGACCTCGCTTTACCATGCTCTGATTTCTTTCAATCAGGCTTTGAATGAAGCCTCTGCACCGTTCAATAGAACCAGCCCTGGGATGACCCAGCTGGAGGTGCTCGGAGCGCTCCTGCATCCCCCCTGGAGCATCTACTGGAGATGCAGTGGCATGGGCTGCCAGGGAGCAGTCAGGTCTCCGTCCCTGGAGGTGTTCAAGGAAAGTGCAGATGTTGCACTGAGTGATGTGGTCCGGAGCGAACACGGCATGGATCAGGGTTGGACCAGATGACCTCAGTGGTCTTTCGAACCTTAAAGATTCTGTGATCCCGTGCGTCCCACATCCCACAGCATAAACCCACTGCTTCCAGTCTGCTGCCTGTCCCCTTTGCCCCAAACCCGAGCATCCAATCACCCACCCACAAAAGCCTTCCCAGTCTCCTTGGTGGCTGTCCCCTCCTCAGGGCTGCGTTTGCTCGGTGTCACGTTGGTTCCGGCAGGCCGATGGGCACAGCGCTTGTTTGCAGAGATTGCACTGAGCAGAAATCCCTGCACTTCATCTCCAGCTGCAATTACCAAAGCCAAGTCGATGCAGTTGATGGTAATGGGATGGTAACACTGTCTGAATTTGTATTTAATGCTGATTCCAAGGGTCTATAATTTTCATCAGCACCACGCGACTTTTTATAGAACAGAAAAAATGTGAGAGCAGTTAATGAGCTGTAATTCTGGAGAGCTTCTGCCTTGATTGGGACTAATTATTTTCTTTATAAAAATAATTAACAACCCACACAACCTAAGGAGTGAAAGGCATGTGGCATTAATTAAACCGCGCGGTGTCTTCAGCGCACCTTTATCTGCTGATCCCGTCGTGTCCTGGGCACAAAGGTGGGCATCGCTCACGCCATGCCAAGGGACAGCGAGGGGGCAGTGGCACACTGGGACCACCCTGAGCCCAAACACACCTCTTTCTGCAGCGCTCTAAGAGCCTGGGATGAGCCCCAGGTGGATGGGGAGCGTGTCTGTGTGCTTAGCTGCACACTTACATAATATACAATTGTTAACAAGACTAATTCCTCTATTTTCCTGGAGGTATGCTGAGAACTAATGAATATATTTGCATAATCTTGATTTTGTTTATGAATAATTCTGGATTATCCCGACGTGAATGGCACAGGGGCTTTGCCACTCCGGGTTGCCTTTCAGCAGAGGATAGCAAAGCGTTTTGCAAATATTAGTTCAGCCTCACAAATCCCAGCAAGCAATAAAATTATTATTACACCCAATTAAAGATGGATGTGCTGAGCAGGGGAATGGCTGTCTGCAGCCTCAGGGCCGGGAGCCCGGGGCCAGAGCTTCCCCTCGGGAGCCTCTTGCCATCTCCCTGCATGGGCTGGGAGTCTCTCTGGTGAGAGAAATTTGTTGCGGAGTTCCTTATTGCAAACAGAGGGGGAATAAGCTGTGTCTGAGCACCAAAGGGAACACTCCTGCTCCATGTGGAGCATCTGCCTGACCTCCCTGCACTCCCCTCCTGCCCGATGAGCCCTGCTAAGATCCATGCTCAAAGCCATCTCCCATTGCTGCCGACAACTGTGTGCTCACAATCCGCTATTCGATTAAAAGCTAACGAGCTATGTTATTGGCAAATAAACTATTTATCTTGCTGCCATTTGCCCTGCTCAACAGAGCGGGACTTCGGGCAAGGGAACTGCAGCAAGGACCCACGGCCCTGTCTGGTGTAGGGATGGGACGTGGTTGACATCGCTGTCAACTTTTCAGGTTGGAAACCTGCAGGGTGTTTGCCAGGGAGGGAGATTTGAAAACAGGAAAGGCACAGGGCTGCTTGCTGAGAGCGGCATCTTGGGGAGGAGACACCCAAAGGCAGTCCTAGTTAGGATTACAGCTCTAAGCTATGGTGGAGACACCTGCCCCAGTGCTGCCAGCAGCTGCCTCCAGCAGGAGTCTGCGATGCAGATGGAGCCATTCCTACCTCTGTGCCCATTATCATCCCCATTCCCAACCCTACCCTCATCCTCATCCCACCCTCAATCCCCTCCGCATCCTGAACCCTGCCCCCATCCTCATTGCTTCACTATCTCCATCTCCATCCCCATCCCATCCTTGTCCTCATCTGATTCTCATCCCTGTTCCCATCCCATCCTCATCTCTTTACCATCCTCCTCGCATCCCTAACCCCGTCTCCATCCCTGGGCTGTGACCATGCAGTGTCCCTGTAGCACCTGGCACCAACCCTGCCACCAGCAGGGACGCCTCTGTTCTTACACAGCCATGCATAGCAAATCAGCTGCTGGAAAAACGAAGAGCCAGGGCTGCTTCTTTGGCCCAGGGTGAGATAAGAGAGGTTGTAAAACATTTCTGGAGGCCAAGAAGCAAAAAAGAGCTGCTGCTTGGTTTGGTCTTGCAGCAGGATGCAGGGATGTGGGAGGGGGGTGAGCTAAAATTGGATGAAAAACACCTATTATGGAATTGTGTTTCTCTTCTGTGCTTAAGCTGCTTCAAGGAAGCCACGCGCTTTTCTGCAGCTGGTGCCTCTGCTGATGCACGAGGAAATAGTGGAGAGAAGATTAAAATTGAACTGGCTCAGGATCCGTGCAATCAGGGAAAATATCGCAGTGATTTGCTATTATAATTTCCAATAACAAACGGCAGGGCTCCTGCTGCACTAATAACAGTGGTCTGAATGAGGTGGGGAAGGAACCTGCCATGGAGTGGTTTTGTGTCTGTGTTTGTGGAAAGCACTTAACAACCTCCCCCACCTCCTAATTTTAAAGAGGTATTTTTAGTGCCTGTTTCAAAGGGATTTACGTAAACACATCTGCATGAGTTTTGGCGTGGAAATCTCTTTTACAACCTTCTCCTTTCCCCCCCTCCTTCTGCCGGGTCAAAGGAGCGGTTCAACCATTTTCTTTTTCAATCAACTGAGAAGAGGCAGAAAGCAAGAGAGAAAGAAAAGGATGATTTCACCAATGCAAAAAGCCTCCTCTGCATAGAGTGATGCGTTTTGAGAGGATTGTGGCGCAGCGCAGTGGATGTGGGACAGCAGGGTCCCAGGGCTGTGGGTGCAGGTGATGCGTTGGCACAGCGGTCCAGGGAGTGGTGGGCTCACCAACCCTGGAGTTGTTCAGGGAACGTGGAGATGTGACCCTGAGGGATGTGGTTATGGGCACGGTGGGGTGGGTTGGGTTTAGGCTTGAGGATCTGAGAGGTCTTTTCCAGCCTTCACGATTCCATGACTCTATGACTCTATGATCCACCACCCAACCCCGCTGCGCCCTTCAAACAAAGCTCACCAGGAAGGCGGTTTTTCAGCTTCTCGCTCCTCCAGCGATGAGGAGCTGCAGGAGAAAGGCTGCTTGATGAGAGCTTTGTGGCAGGAGATGGCTCGGGGACTCAGGAGCCTGAGGACAGGGGAGGGGGCTATGTCACCCAGCGCATCGCATGGTCTGATGGCATGGCATGTGCCCATGGTGCTGAGCTCTGCGACGGGGACGCGGCCGCGGTTTGCTCCCGAGGCAGCAAACACCCTGTGCCTTTGCCCTGTCCTCCGTGTCTCCCCCAGCTGTCATGGCCCAGCCCGTGAAAGACGACAGAAAAAAAATATATGTTTATATCTATCTATTCAATCAATGTCTATGGAGCTTAACGCAAAGGGATTACCAGCCCGTTTAGAGCGTTAGTGACTCTCAGCTTTCACCGGAGGAGAGTATTGGGTTGAATTGAAGCCAGCCTTTGATGGGATTGGAGAATAATTATTTCCATCAATAATTACTTCCAAGCCCAGAAGAAATGGTCCCCAGTGTGTAGCAGGACAGCAGCCCTTGGTTGCCTTCAGGCTAATGTGTTTCAACGCCGAGACCTGAAATGCCATTAGTGGGGACATCACCCACTGTGCCCAGGGAGGGCCCCCATCGCACCATTGGAGCTGCTCCAGCTTTGCACAGGTCATTAATTTGGGGACATTTTTAATGGATCCTAATGACTGAGCCTCAGAAGACTGTTCTTAAAAGGGGGTTGGGAAATGCCACAAGCTAATTAGCTCACACAAAGAAAGCAATTAACCATGTAGCTTCCTGGATGGTTAAAAATAACACAGATAATGGGAAAAGACTGGGAGATTTTTTACAAGCAGAATAATAGATTTTAAAGCTGGAGGGACCATCAGATCTGCCAGCATTACCTCTTGCATTTGATGGGTGGGAAATATTTTCTCCAGCTTCATCCCATTGACCCCCAGCGCATGTGTTTGCCTAATGTTCATCCCTAAACCTTCAGGCATTGCAAACTGTGCTCCAAGAAAGAAAGGGCTGCTAGAAAAGGTGGGGTTTTCCTGAGAACACGGGTTGATATAGGAATGAAGTCTCTTCGACAGATGCTCCAGCCCCCAGAATTGGGATTCTCATGACAGGGGCAGGCAGAAAGATGTTCCCAGGGGCTGCAAGCCTCTGGCCATGGCTAGCTGGGGCTGATGTGCTGCTTCCCCATGGAATGGCACTTTAGCTTCCTTCCTGGCACCACTGAAGCCCCAAGATGTGCAACACTCTTGGTCCTGGCCCTTCGGCACATATTTGATGACTGTGATGGTTTCCAAATCCGAAATGCCTGGCTGGGCTCAGCCTTGCTGATGCTTCCTTTATTTATCTGTGTAATACTCTGCACGACACCAAAAGTGTGGTGTTCTCATTCCCCACTGGGTATGGTTTACGACTTTCCATTAGTGCTTCCATTCTTTGATACAAATACCTGCAGGGCTCTACTCACACAGGCTCCCTGGGGCTTGTGCAGGCACCTGCACGGCTCAGGTGGTTCCCTTTGTTTTCTAGCTCTCTTATTGCTCTTTCTGGCCTCTTGCCACGCAGTGGGACGCTCAGCTGCCTGCCGTACTCTGCCGAGGATCGACGTCCTGAGAAGCTGAGCAGCTGTGTGTCCAAGGAGACCTCCACCACTAACGGCTGGGCAAGAGGGAAGGAGAGACGTGGCCATGCTCACCACAGGTCACGCAGGTAGGGACAGGGCCACCCCGCCATGAGGTTCAGCGGAAGAAACGTCATCCTTATCCCTGCTGAGTCAGTGAGATCTGGGCAGGGGTTGGACAACTGTGTGAACCGCCGGCATCCCATGTGCTGTGGGGCACATAGGTTCCTCCTGGCTGTGGATTGCCCTCAGCAGTTCCCATCTCCCATGCCTAGATCAGAGCAGCAGCACTGCCCTAGCTAGGATATCACTTTGTTATCGGTATGCTGTTAGCCCCTGACAACTTGCAAAGGTAAAAATGAATGAAGCTTGCTAAGCAAGGCAGCTGGAGTCTCAGCCTTTGTTGCTGAACTGGGATTAAGGCCTTTCTGTTTGGTTAAAGATGCTGGAAAGAAAGGGACAGAAAGTGCATTTACTATCTTCAGATGTCAGGCTAACTGGAACAATAATCTAAAGTGTATTTTTAATTAGACTCTGATTACAATCACAGAGGAACAATTAAAGTTAGATCAGCTCAGGGAGGAGGCTTCCACTTCAAAGACAAAAGGCTTCATCTTGGGAGCAGGGGGAGGGCTCCAGGCAGGCTGCCTATGGCTGAGCACACAGCCTGGAGGTTCTCCATGCCCTGGCACAGACATGGCAGGAGCTGACGATGGCCTGAGATGAGGAGGGGGCTGAGCTGTGCTGGAGCCTACATCCCACATCCCTATGAGAATGGCTTTCCAACACGAGGTCCCAATGGTGGCGCTTCCAGCCAGTGGGATGAGCAGTGGGGATGCTGAGGCATAGACCCTGTGCTCTAGTTTCCATCATTCACTGCCTTTCTTTAGGGTCACCAGCCCCCATGCATTTCATATTTTCAGTGCAGTGCTCCAAATTAATTAAGTGCAGCGTTTGCTTTTTGCTGAAATGTAACACAATTTAAAAAGAAATTAATTTACAGCTTTTTTCCCCCCAAAGTTTAACCACCGTGTAAGAGATGCTTATCTCACTAAATCACCATAGCACATCAATAAATACATATTTTTCTAATCAATTGCTATTTAACATTTGCCATGTCTTATATTACTGTTAAATTCACTCGGTCTCAATAATTATTGTATGCAAATCAAATGCCGATTAATTATTTAAAACATATTTACAAAGCAGCAAAACCCATAAATCTGTCATGGAGTTGTTAACCTCAGCAAGCTCATTTCAAATAACCAGCTGGCATCGCAGCCACGTACAGTGTCTGTCTCATTATATCTCCATTAAACCCACGGAGGAGGCGCTCAATTTCAAGTGAGGGTAATTAGAGGGTAATTAGGTGCCCTGATCTGTCCCGGTCTGCCCTCAGGTAGGGATGGTGGCATGCGGAGGTGAGCAACCCCAAGTGAGGTCATTCTGATGGTGTTTTTATGCATTTATTTTAAAACCTTGTTTGGCTTTATCCCCCCTCCTCAGCCCCTCGTGTGATGGGGAACGTGCACCACTGCCAGCCCGGGGCAAGAAGAAGAAGAAGAAATCCAGCCGCAAGAAGCGACGGAGGTGAGGGCAGCCACGTTGGCCTGGGCCTTGCCTTATGAGCCTCATGGGGAAGGTGTGAGGGGCTGGGCTCTGCCGGCCATCCTCCTGCCCTCCCCTTACACCTAAACAGAGCTCAGCCCCAAAGCCCGGTGGTGGGGTGCAAATTGGGCAGCCCTGGGCGTGAGGGGCTGTGCTGGCCCTGATGCCTCTCTGCTCCCCCAGGTCTCCTTCCTACAGCCCCTCTCCTGTGAAGAAGAAGAAAAAGAAGAGCTCCAAGAAGCGAAAAAGACACAGGTATTTCTCCTTCGAGGTGTTGCGGTGATGCCTTGGGTTCTGAAAGCCGGTTTTTAATTTAAAGAGAGTGATGAAATTTTGGAATTGCAAATATTTCACTGTCTTCTCCCAGCTGTTAAACCAATATTTGCAGAGAATAGTAGATGCCATCTCCCTTGGAAAGTTCATGTATTTATAATTTATTGAATGAGAGCGAGAAGCTACTGAAAGTGGTGAACAGAGTGAAAAGCAGCCCTTTTTTTGTTATGGAAAAAGGTGGAAGGGAGGGAGAGTAGGAGATAGAAATGCCTCTAAAATATATCTTATCCATCTCAGGTCAGATGCTTGTCATTTTTACACCTGTAGTACTCATTTGTGGCCCTGCAAGCTGAACTGTAGCTTATAGTTCATCCCAAAAGGCATTGTGATCAACCATTGAGCGTTAGTGACCAGTGGAGGTCATTTCCAGATACCACTCACCTACAGATCCCAACTGGCCTTGTCTCGGGCCATCTCATGGCCCTTCTAGACAGGACTTCAGGCCATGTCTTCTGCGGGATGCTGTGCTAGGAGCTCAGGTGGGACAGGAGGCAGCGTGCAGGGGGCTCACTGGAAGGAAGTATCCCCCTCTATGCTCCCAGGTTTTTCCAAGGGCCACCAGCATGGTGGTTCCTACAGGCATGCTCCAGGAGGGAAGACATAAAGCTGGTTTGGCTGTGAGCCTGCTCTGGAGTTTTGCAGAAAGGATTCCTCCTTTGACTGCTGCTCAATCCTTTGTACAGAAGATCAGGGTCTAGACTCTACAACTTCAAACTCAGCGCAGTTTAGAGTCAGTAGTAGAGAAAAGCGATCCACCAGGGACAGTGGAGGTTTTTGATTCTACAGAAAGTGATATGCTCAATTATTTGCAGTGTGCCAGTGACTTCCACCAGCACCAGCTGCCCCGTTAGCTGCCTCGTTAGCCCAGCTGGCTAAAAGGGAGTCAGGGCTGTCTAGCTGGTGCGTTGTTTCCTTAGTGCTCAGCCTCAAGATGGGCCTTACCAGATTGTCTCTGATTCAAAATTCCAGTTTTGTAAGATGCTGTACTCAGTGTGCACCTTTGTGTCTTGCAGGTTATCCTCAAAGAAGAGAAGGCACAGGTAAGAGTTGAGCACGTGTGGGTGATCCCCTACAAATGGTCTCCTCAGGATCTCACAAGGTTGATGTTCACCGTGTGGAGGCAGAAATCACTTCTGTGCCTCTTTGTGGAATCCCCTTGGTTCCCCCATCCCCTGTGGGTCTCGCAACCTCGTGCATGTTGGATACTTTCTGCATCTTGAGCCTTCATTCCTCTTATGGTTTCGCCTACAAACAGCAGTGGGGAAACATTCCAATTCAGTGCCTTTCCAGGTGCATACTGGAAGAACCCTCCTGATTCCAGTGCACGCATTCGTCTTCTCTATGGGAAACTGTAAAGCCAGAAGGCTGGCTGATGCCACGGGGACTGTGTCCAAGCCCAGGTTTCTTATCAAGAGCTGAGACCCCCAGTGTCAAGGCAGAACCAGTCATCCCTTCAGTTTTTTAATTGCATGTTTTTGGGCAAATTAGATGTAATGTTGATGTGTCATTGAGCAATATATATATATATATATATATATATATAAATCAGAACAGAAATCTCCAAATTAATTAGCCATTTCTTATTTAGTTCCTCAAGCCCCAAAAGTAAGAGAAAGGAAGAAAGAAAACACAAAAAACAGTAAGTAGTGATTCACAGTATTCTCTGCCCTGCCAGTTGTGAGCAGAAGGTCCAGCTCTTCTGATGAAGGCAGTATGAGACCCAGCTCTGCATGCCCTCACTGAGAGGGGCTTTAGTTCTTCCTTGTTTGCTGCTTTCAGAGGTTACACAGGGGTTGCTAGTGATATAACCAAATATCCAAATGGGAACAGAAAGCAATGGGGGCTGGGGAAAAGAAGAGGTTGTTTAGAGATGATGGAGGCTGTTAAAATATGGAGTTGAGGTTCCCATCTGCTCTGGTGTGTGCAGAAGACAAGCACAGTATTTGTCTTAAGGAACAGACAGGAGTGTGGTATGAAACACAGTTCTTTGAGGCCAGGAGGAGGGCCTGTAAGACTTCCATTTTGCAACTTGTGGCTTCTCACCTGCTTTCAGAGCACAGAAACAGCTCTGGGGCTGAAGCCTGGGCATCAAACCCCTGGCTGGCTCTGCTGGGACTCAGCACACCCTGCTAGGGAAAGAAGAGCTGGCAGACAGGGATTTGCTGTCTGATTGGTAATAGCAGGGCCTGCCCTGTAATTCTTCACAACACAGCCTTTGCTCTTAGGAAAGGAACAGAAGGACAAGAGCCCCTAGCACTGCTAATGTCACCTTGCTGCCCATTGGGACTGAAGAGACTAGAATCCACGAGGTGCTGCCTTCACCTCCATTGCATGCAGAAATCCCATCTCCTTTTCTCTGCATACTGCATGTGCAGTAATGCACTCACTGCTTTCTTCCCGCAAACTGAGCTGCTGTGTGCCCAGAGATCTTACAGATCATTGATAAAGCTGAAGCTTTCTTGATTATCTGTATAAGAGGGCATTTCCATGCACAACAGTGCTGGCCAACCTGCGTTAGCCAGTTAGTGTGGTGAGAACAAAGATTGGATGCAGCAGTGCACTGACTGAGGGGAATGAGAGCTTCTGGGATTGCTCTTTGGGGATAAACCACCCAGGGCTCTTCAGTTCTCATCTTTCAACTCAGAAAGCAGAACTGAGTCACTAGTGGTTTCTCCATGCCTCCCCGTTGCTCCCAGGTGTGGATCAGTGAGATCCCATAAACCGACTTGAATCAGGATTTGGCTTATCCTTGTTATCTAAACCACATGGGAGCAGTCTGTCCTTCCTGAATATGGGGGGAAAAAGCTCTTAAACTGGAGAGACAGATGCAGAAGGTGAAGAGAAAGCATGGAGGGAGGGAGAGGCAGTCAGTGCTGCTGACTTCAGCTTTACAGAAGGAAGGAAGCTCCCCAAATGTAAAATGCTGGAAATACAATCATAGTGTATAAAAAGCATCAGAGAAAACAGCCAAGCAGAGTTCAAGCAATTGCCCTCATTGTTGCCCTTTTGTTTTAGAGGAGATGCTGTGCTCAGGCAATTGGTTCACTGATTTCTTATGGTGCCAAATTGTTAAATGCTGTCCAGGCAGGTATGTTAGCAGTGTCAGTTGCTGGTACAGCATGGCCATGAAACCAGATTGTTCCTGTCAGCTAACCTATCATCAGCTTTGCGTGCTGGCACAGCAGTGCCAGGCTGAGCAGATGGTTACACACCAGGCCCAAAATAGCTGCTGTGGTGGGCACTGGGCATGACGAGAAGGAACAAGCACAGAAGGTTTCAGAGCCTGCCATTCACTTAACTCTGCTCCCTGAGTGCAGGACTGGGGCCCCTTCAGTAATGGGGCCAGGTCCATCTGTAACAGCCCAAAAGGAGCAAGGGGAAGAGGAGCAGGACAGTGAACCCCCGTCTGTGTGTAGTTTGCTGGTCCCTGTCCTGTGGCCATGTAAGAGAATGGAGCAGCAGCATCTGGGCACCTCTGAGAAGTCAAATAAATGGTCCTGTGCCCTCAAGCAGAAACCGTGCATAGTGTAGGCTGCAGTTATGGAGGCTGTGTTTCATGTTTATATCAACAATAACAGCAGTTTATAGGACTGGCTGGACCCTCTCATCTTGAGAAGGGGGGGAAAGCTGGTACCCAGTGTCCTGTATTATGGGGAGTCTGGGAGGGTTTGAGCTTGGCATTGGGCTGCTCAGACAAGTGGTTCTCCCCAGACAGGGCTTAGCAATGGGCTGTCAGGATGGGCTGCAGGATGAAGGCGGAATGGGTGACGTAGCTCTTTAGGGTCTTGAAAGCAGAAAGGATTGGTGCTGCCTGCTGCGCTCCTGTGCACTTGTCCATAGATCTTCCAGCATGGCGCAGAGGCAACCTAACAGCTTGTAGCTAAATGCTAGCATAGATCTCAGAGAGATGACATGCCTTGATGTCAGGGCAGCTGTGAAGGGATGGAGAGTTTTTCATACCTTTGTGTCCTTTGCAATGTCTCACGCACCAATCCCTTTGCTTTAAAATGCAGATCTTGTTTCTGATCTAAGTGCCGTTGACTCTGGCCTCCAACTGCTGGGTCTTACAGCCTATGTCTGCTATCTAACCACAGTTTCTTCTCTGTTTCCCAAAGCTCTCGTGGGCGCACCCGGAAAGCTCACCGCCACCGCCGCTGCCACTCTCGCTCAGAGAGCTCTGACTCCTATTCCCCGAGCTGCCGGAGCAGGTAATGTCACCGCTCGCTGAGCTGCTGCCCTGTAGCACTGCAGTGAGTCAGGAGTGTGACTGCAATGGCTCGTGTGCCCCACTGGCCCTCTGGGCAGAGCCACATCCCACTCTGGTAGTTGGGTGTTGAGCTCCTTGTGGTCATGGCCATAAAGCAGAAGGTTTGGGCTCAAGAAGTGGTGGCTGCATCTTCTCAGCCCAGCAGTCACTTCTAATCCCCATGGCTGAAGATCAGCCAGTGACAGCTGATTTCAGCCCAGTCTGCCTTTCCCACCCCAGGGCTCTGTACTGCCAATGTCCCAGGAAAGCTTCAAGCTTGTTCTTAGCAATGGAAATGTATTTGCCAATGGCATCCTATGGCCACTATCTTTGACCTGATTAAAATCTCTTTCCTGTAGATGACAGATGCATCCTGAGGCCAGCTGAGTGGATGCTGGTGCTAGACCCGCATCACTGCAATAGCAAATTGCATAGCTATGCACATCGTGAGCTTGTTATGTGTTGTTTGAAAGAGTTTTATGACCAAGCCATTCCCTCTGTCCCACTCCACTCCTTCTAACTACTGAGAATCTTCTCATGGAAGCCTGGTGATCAGTGCAGGGAGGAACGCAACCGGTAATAGGTGGGAAGTTCATGCAAGTGCAGAGTGTCTTCTCTTGAACGTGTACTGCCATAGGGACATTCAAGGCTGTGTGGAAGCTGTAAGCCACCATAAAATTAGGAATATTGGAGCTGACGTTTGCTTTAAACTTGAGATTTAAAACCCAAACCCCGCCACCACATCTCCTGGCTGCAAAGCAAAATGTTTTTAAAGCAAGGAAGCAAAATATTCCCTTTCACTCCGTCCGGACTCCACAGAGGAGGCGAGGGTTTGCGTGCGGCTGCCGGTGGGCGCTGCTGCAATGCTGAGGATAACGCTTTGCTTCTCCATGTTTTCTGGAGGCACAGAGCCAGGTCACGGGAGGAAGGGCGTAAAGCACGGCGGAGACGCTCCCGGCACCGTGCAAAAGTCCCAGCAAAGAGAAGCTCCTCTGCAGAGGTTCAGGCCAGCCAAACCCTCCCACTGCACAGCTTCCTGTCTCCTAAGGAAGTCGTAAGTATTACGCTCTGTGCTTCTTGGCTTTCAGTAGCCACGGGAATACGGGTGAGAAGTCTGACATGAAATTTCTGTAACTGGATTATAACGATGTGAGACAAAATTTGGTTAAAACAGCATTACTTATTAATGGTGCTGTTCTCCAAATGTATTTAAAGTCATTCCTTCCTTCAGCGCTTCCTCTTCAAGAGTGGGGTTGGAGAGGGGAAAGATTTGCCGAGTCTTTAGCCACTGAATATTGAATTGAGGACACTTAACATTAAAAAAAAAAGAAAAAGAAAAAAAAATGTGGCCTTCAGCAATGATATTTCGCAGGGATGTGTTTGCTATGCAGTCTTTGCTCAGCTGAATTTGAACTTAATTCATCAGTCTTCATGTCCGAAAGTTTAGTCCTTTAGGGGTAAAAAAAGGGAATCAGACGAAGATAAAGGAAATATTTACATTTAATGAGTTGGTGATTATTGGCAGGGGATGTTTTCTATTGGGATCCTTCTGAGATCACTGTTGCTCTGGACTGACAAGCCCAGGGGCCAACTTGAGAGCTTGTGTGCAGCTCTCATTGATGCTAATGGGAACTGCAAGTGCAGCCGAGGGTAAAGTCAGTCTCAGTGCCTTGGGATGTTTTTCCATATACATGGAAAGAGATGATATAATACATGCCTTAGAACAGAGGGAGCAAAAACAGAGAGAAATCTTAGATAGCGATTGGTATGAAATCTTTTTTTCCCATGGCACATTTCCCCCTTGTTCCCAGTGGCTGCCAAGCAGAGGTGTGATGCTCTTTGATCAGTGTTAGCATCTGATGGGTGTTCTGGAGAGGGGCACTGCTACACAAGTCTTGAGGTAACGCAGAACCTGGTGCTCGTGTGTGGTTATGGAATGCTACCAGTGGCTTGAGTGGAGTCCTCTGAGCCCTGAAGTGATATAGAGTGGGGGACTGACTTTCTCCTCTTAAGCCCTGTCCTGAACTGGAAATAGCTCAGCCATACCTCAAATAGAGGAGATAGTCCCAGCAAGAGGAGGCTCTTTCTCTGCTCACCTGCACAGCTGGCATTTCAATCACAATACACAGAGATCCTATATGGATACAGACAGGCCACAAGCTGTCTCCCAGAGTCACAGATGCATACTCACTCTTGTCATAAACACCCACTGAGTGTGTAGTGCACAATTGAGTCATTGCTTATAAAGCCATATAAGGCAGAGCACAAGTAGCAGAACCTGCATGCTGTGCTTACGTGTGCATCCCTACAGCAGCAAATGCAAAGAAGGACAAGAGCTTGCATTGCCACTGGCCTGGGGTGGCACCCTGTGTCAACTCAGCAAGGTCAGGGTGAGTGAGTTAATAACGCAGGGAAACCAATGGCAGAAAGACCTTTACTCTGCAGTCCATTGGTGTCCTCTCTCTTCCCAGACAGAAGTATGCTCTCTTGAGACATTGTTCAAGATCACATTTATGCATTTGTTTAAATTGAAGCCCCTGGCAAAGTGCTGAATAAGGTCTTTAAATATCACATGCTCAGAACCAGCAGGGATAAATGGAATGGGAGCCTTCAGTCTTGTCTGCTAATGCTATACAGTCTGTGTCACACCCGTTGGCCTGGGGTTCCAACAAAAACCCTCCTGATGTGGGGAGATTCATCGTGATATCTCCAAAGGAAAGTGATGGTCCAGAGAGGGCTCTGACACACAGAAGAGACCCAGACAGGCAATACACAGACTTCCTTGAGGCAATGCTACAGCATTTCCAAATCTATTTTTAAAAATTATTTAATTTTAAGCCAGGTTTTATTCTACTTTCTTCTGAAAACTGGAAGCTTTCTGTGGTAAACTTTGTCTCCACGCATTTTGTCCCTTCTTTTCTATTGGAATGACCACATCCAGCTCAGTTTACCTGCAATCTGAGGGTTGAAGCACACAGAGGAGCACCCTGTCCACGCGTCTACCTCACTGCTTCTTCCCTTCTTGCCTTTATGTGCAAGTTGGTGCATGCACGAGCACGCACACATGCAAAAACACCCCCAGAGCTCCCTGCTTCTTTTGAGCAATGAATTTCCAAGCTTCACACACTCGTTTTTTCCTTTAATCACACGCAGCCACAATAGGCACCTGTTGAGAAAGAGGATTGTGAGGCTGTGCCTCAGCATGCAGAGAAACTGGTAATAGGCTGCTGCTATATCTGAACATTAACAGCAACCCCCTGTCCTGCTGCAGACACCATTCTGCATTGGCACAGATGTATTCCATGCCCTTGTGCTTCTGGTTGAGCAGAGCAATATAAATACCTGCAGGGTGTGAGCTTAATTGCCTTTTGTTGTACCTGATGAAGATAACTGCACACAGCATCTACCTTCCCTGCCAGCTCCTTTGCGTTCACTGAAGCTTGTTTGCAATGTCACTAATTAACACAGGCTTGACCCAAATTTTCAAGGAGGCTCAGTGGGGTCTGCTTGTTCCAAGCAGCACTGCTTGTGCTGGTGTGCCTGCGGGGAGGTACAGGTGGGACAACGCAGTGCAGGGATGGTGACAGCATGCACAGGGGGGCAGGGGGAGGCTGATAGCACGCCTGCAGACTGCATTGCTCTTGCTCTCTGTTTTCCAGCCTGGGTTGTGGTTTCTATAGGAAAAGCTGCTCTTTTAACTGCTGCATGCCATGTTTCTGATGACAAACAGGGCTCTTCAGGAGCTGGAAGGCAAAGCTTTCCCTAAACATGAAAGCCTCGCTCTTTTGCTGATCCTCTCAGCCAGAGGACTGAATGTACCTCTGGTTATCACCCGATAAATCTGCAGCTCAGTGCTCAAGCAGAGGCAAGAGAGTGTGCAGCCATGAGAGGAGCAAGCAGCGCCCCGGGTACCCAAAGGAAGCAACATGATGCAAGCCCTCACCCCAAAGCTGTGCCAGACCAGCCCAAACCAAGGGGATGTGCTCACTGCAGCAGGCGGAGAGGAGTTTTGCACTGATGTCAGCTCAGGCAGAGGGTTAGCAGAGCCCAGCCCATCTCCCCATTGAAGGCAGCCCTATGGGCCCCACTCCCTGCAAGGCAGCAGGTGCTGCGGTGGCAGCTGTCAGCGGGGAGCAGGGGTCACTGCTGCAAGCTTTGTGTGCCTTTCATCGGCACAATGCGTGGACAGACAGAGGGAGGGAGACATTATGCACTCCTGAAAAAGAAATTAACTCTTGTTTTGCGACTCGTTTCAAAGCAGAGAAAAAGACCCCAGAAAAACCCTCTGGCGATGAGCGAGGCTGCGCCGCGCTGCTCACTGATGGGCCTCGGTCCCCTTATGGCTGAGAAAATTTATAGTCCTGTCTCTCCTCGAGGCTGTTTGAAGCACAGTAAATGGACTCGTTCAGTTTAATTGGAAGACGAGCAGTGATTGCATTGTTGTAAGCCATTAGGCTGCACCGCCTCTTGATCTAGGAGCACGCTCAGCATTGCGTTCTGAAGCATCAGGGCCTCGTTTCTGCTCGCCCCTTCATCTTGCTTAAATAATGATTCGAAACACAAAAAACAACAAACCCAAACAGTAAATACATATCTTGGGTTCTCTTGAGGGCAGCAGTGTGTCTCACACCAAAATCATTGAGATTATTTAATTACTTATTAGAGGGGGGAGGGGGAAATGCCAAATGTTCACACATTGAAAATTAGATTCACAGGAGACCAGACTCTTTTGAGACACCCTAGAAAAATAAAAAGCCATTAGAATTCAACTGAACTCTGCAGCGCCTTCAGATGCAGCTCGTGGTTCCCATTTTGTGGGGCAGGAAAATGGAACCAGAGGTAGAGCCAAGGTCACCAGATGGGGGAATTAGCCTCTGCCCAGCACCTCAATGCTTGTCCTACCTCCTACAACAGGACAGAAACCACAGGCCAGGCCTTCCAGCCCTCACAAGGATATATTCCACTTCCATCCATGTTACCTCTTCCCAGAGTGCTGTTATTGCAGTGGTGGAGCTACAGAGGGGCACTGGGGGCTCACTGGGTAGATTTTGGGATGCACTGACAGCAGCTGTTACTTCAGTGCAAGCAAAACAAGAGTTCCTAGCAGTCCTAGGACCCATGGGTTGAAATGCCAAGAAATGGGTGGATTTCTTGGCTGGGAAGAGCTAAAGGCTGTTTGGTTTGGACTGGGAACAGAGGTGAGGGAGATGCACATGCCCACCCCCAGACTCCCACCTCTGGAGTCAGGGAGTGCTTCACGTGGTGTTTTTATGCCTGTAAATGAAACGTAGCCAAAAGGTGGCTGCCTCAGGTATAACACTAGCCAGAATCTTTAGAAAAAATCTGGGAAGCCACATCCCTCGTGTCTTTGGGTGCAAAAGAGAGCAGGGCCGGACCCCCCGCTCTGTTACACTCCTTTGACATCTCTGGAGTAAACTTATTCTGGAATAAACAAGAGCTGGCAGAGAAATGGCAAAGAGCAGCACCTGTGTTGCAAACCCCGGGGCCTGGAGGAGGCTGCACAGGGTGCAGATGTGCCAGGTCTGTGTTTGTCCTTAATGCTTCCCATCACAAGGGCAGGCATTAACACTCGTGTAGCCTCGCTGACCGGTGCTGGACTGGCTCTGGTAGATGCCAGTAGAGATAAAACTGAAGAGATAAGATGTTCAGATGATGGAAGTGCCCTGGTGGTGCCAGCTGACAGCCCCAGCTAAGGCAGCCAGCAAAGCTGTAGGGTCCTCAGCTTCAGTAGCCCACCAAAACCATCATCCCCTTCCCGTAGGTCTCCAGTGCAGCCAAAGTGGGGGAATGTTGTTTCCCCCTCAGCTTTATTTTTGACTTCTTTGCTGGAGTTCCTTTCGCCATTTTCACGTACCCGTGGGCCACCATGAAACCCAAGGGGATTGAGTGCAAGCCACGATTTTCCAGCACAAGCCATCAGCCCCCAGGAGCTGTCTGGGCAGCCTAATGTAAAGCAGAAGGAAACAAAAATAAGGAATAATAAGTGAGAGAAGCGAGCAGACAAAAAGCAGTTGTGACATTTACGTAGCAGAGTCAAGTGAACAGTTGGCAGTGTGGATTGAAGAGAGGGTTTATGTTTTTTTTATGTAATTTGAGACTCTAATGATGGACTTATGTTGCCCGCTCTTCCTTTTTTCTTACACCTTACCTACTAAAGGAGGAGTTCTTGATGGGTAAGTGGATGCTATCCGCAAGACACCAGGGAATTTATTAGAGGTCACTTGAGCGCATTAGCTATATCTTCTTCAGGGGGAAAAAAGCACACAGAGAAGTGTCTGTATACCTTTTATTTCCAGAGGGATTTTTCTTTTTTCCCCTTCTCCTTTTTTTTTTCTTCTTTTTTTCCCCCCCTTTCTTAGTTTTTATTTTCAAAGCTCTAAGCTTGTTTATTTGCCAGTTTGTACAGAAGCCCTTCATTTGATTTGCTTTGATTTTTCTTCACCTATTTTTGTAACATTCGTTCAGAAATTCACTTAATTAAGCATTTGTTTCATTTTTGTTTTCCTTCCAAGGATTAGAAAGTTTTGGTTTGGTTTTTTTTTTTAATATATATTCCCTTCCACTCTCGTTTCTTTTTTTGCCCTCCCCCTTTTAGGTTAAATAAGGGCTTTTTCCTCTGTTACACCTTTTTTTATTTAGTTAGCCTGTTACTTTGATTCCTTGGTTGCCCGTTTACTTTGTTGAACTCTTTCATTTAACATGGATCGCATGCTGATACTCTTTGCATGATCTCTAGATCTTCCCGTTATCATAGCAGGGGGAAAAGGAGTTTCTTCTTACTGTGGATTTCTTTCAGGGATATGTGCTTTTGTTTTCTTCTCTTTCTTCTTTTTCTTTCTTTCTTTCTTACTTTGTTTCTTTCCTTTTGTTTCAGTGCATCATGATGGTAAAATTTCTGGGTTTATTTAAAACATAAAATAAAAGCAAAGTAAAACCAAGAGCAACCCTCCTCAATAAAACGTTCAAACAATGCCAAATGGCTTTTTTGCTTTCAGATCTCTCAGTCAGGGTCTTCTGCTGACCTCTTTACCAAAACAGACAGCCCGCCTGGCCGCCTAACCAGCCAGAACGGAGAGTGTCATGAATATGACTCAGGAAACGACACTTCTTCCCCTCCCTCCACTCAAACGAGCTCATCCAGGTCAAAGGACAGCCAGGAGAAACGAAGCGTAGCCCACGATGGCTTTGGCCATGCCTTCTCATCCAGGAAGCCCAAAGTGGCCAACGGTGATAACAGCTCTGATTCAGGAAATTCCTTCACCAGTTGCTTTTCCCAGACCAAGGCAACGGCTTCGGAAAATCTGTCTCCAGATCCCCAGAGACAAGACGAGAGGTCAGTGATTATCAGCAGCTAATGCTGGTATTTGTTGCCCTGTATCTCCCGCTCGCATTCCTGATGCACCGGTGAGCTGGCAAGGAGGTTTTGTGGTCTGGAGGTGGTTAGATCTCAATCAGACCTTGCCAGTCTGGAGTTCAGAGCCCACAGTGAGCAGTGCTGGAGCCTGAGGAGGAAGATGAAAACACAGCCACAGGTCATCATCAGGAGAAAGGAGTAGGTGCCAGCTCCATCTCTGCCTCCCTTACCCGGGATGTGCCAGGTGGTGGTGGGAATGAAGGAGCAGAAGCATGGCAGCTGGTACCTAAAGCTGTGCTGGGGCAGTGGTGGTTGGGAGCAATTCCACCTCAGGTCTTAAATGCCAAATGTTAGAACCAGGGGAGTTGGTATTAGGAAGAACAAGTCCTGAATTTTCATTTGGAGGGTAAGATGTTGAGGCTGTACATATTTCTCATGCTGTGACTCCAGTGGGATAACTCTGCCTTCATATGGGTGGAGCTGGGATTGCAGCTGGTCCTTACTGTTGAGAAGCTGACCCCAATTCACATCCGTGGCTCTTCTGGAAGTACAGGGATTCCCACAGCCCAATCCAAAGGCAGTAGGACATGCCTGCTCGCTCTGCTCCTGGAGCACAGCCTTGCCACACTTTCCTTGCTCTTTACCCCCAACGCCTGCAGGGCATGGGGCAGAGGAGCTGACAGCCCAAATATACATTTGCAGAGGATGCCTGTCCTCGTGTCTCAGCTGTTCAGAGGAGAAGAAGCGCAGTGTCCCCCCGTCGCCAGCCCGCAGCTCCCCGCTCAGGCCGTGCCCCCGCAGCGAGTCGTGCAGCAGCACAGGACGCTCCTCCCCTGGCTCCAGCTGCTCCTCACCCCGCAGGGCCTCCCCCAGGTACTCCCGCAGCAGGTCCTGCTCTTCAGGGAAGAGGTAAGGCCAGCACAAATGGCTCTCTCCATCACTCTGGGCAGTCTCTGGCTCTTGCAGGCTGGCGGACTCCTTGGGGACGGGAGTGAGACTTTGTGTGGGTGCCAGGGAACCACGTGGCCCTTGAGATATGGGGCATCTCTCCCCACCATGAGCCTGGATGAGAGGAAGTCTGGTACAACCTCACCCTCCAGCATCTTTAGCTCTTATGTTTCTTCCCTAGCCCCAGGTCTTCTTCACGGTCCCCCAGCTATTCCTCTAAATCCTGCAAAAAAAGCCCTGGAAGCAGGAGCTCAAAGACTCGCCGAAGCCCGAGTTACTCCCACTACAGCCCTACGAGGTATGACTGTCCCTACATTGTTATCTGCTGCCTCATGCTTTTCCATTGCCTCCATCACTTGCTTGTACTCCAGCCTACTTTCTGGTTCCTTCTGCCAGCTCCAAACTGCCCCCTCAGCTTCCAGGAGGGAGCAGGGAGACATGGAGCGTGGCATATGTCCAAGCATTATGCTGATCTGCAGTCCAGTGGAAATACCTTCCCATTTATTGCCTCAGGGCAATCAGTGCAGCAGGGAAAGATGCTCTGCTCTTCCAAGCTGCAGCTCTGCCAAAGAGGTTTCAGACCCTGAGAAATGTCCCTGCTGCATGGGCAGGAGCCAGGTACCCTCATGCTGGCACTCACAGAGCCATGCATGGGGAAACAGCCCAGGTAACTCTGCTCCACACCCTGTAGAAAACACACATCTCACAGCTCAGCCCTAGAGATGCCTTTGGGCAGTATTTTCTGGTAACATCTCTGCTTTTGAGCATGCTGTGAGCATTTGGCACCCTTAAAATGTTACACTCACAGGACCTGATTCTGCAAGCTGTGACAGCCCCTGTTCTGGTGCAGGAGAACATTTCCTGCATGCAAGGATCAGGCCCTTGACCTGTAATGTGTTGCTTTGCAGATGGAATTGAGAAAGGAACGGGGCGGATGAAGTCATCTACCCTCCACAGCAGGGCCTGTGCTGACGTGCACAGGGAATTAACAAAAGAGAAAACCATAGCAACCCCAGCACTCCTTCTGGTGAGCGGTGCACAGCCCTGCAGAGCTACCTGGGGCCCTCTGCACACGTGAGGCCTGCTGGCAGGGCTGTGCTCGCCTGCTCTTGCAGCACAGCCAGCAACAGCAGCTTTAGCAGCGCTGTGCAAATACCAAGTGCATCCACAAAGGGATGGGGAAGCCATTTGGCTTAGCAATGCAGGGCTGCTGGGAGACGCTGCTGAAACACCCCTGCAGCCTACAATTGCTGGGTGTCCGTCTGTCAGGCTACTGAGTGTCCCACTGTCCAGCGAAGCGCAAGGCTGATGCCACCCAAACACCGAGCAGAGCGCTTTCCACTCAACTGGGTCACTGCCTTTGTGTTCAAACCCCATCCAGCCGATTTTTGCACCTGCAAAAGCCCAGCGGTGATGATTTTCAATCTGGCCCTTCCCTTAGGGACCGTGAGCACAAGCACAGCTCCAGTGAGAAGGAGTCACACCGGCAGCGGGACCGGCAGCGCCGGCGCTCCTATTCCCCCCTGAGGAAGCGCAGGAGGGACTCCCCCAGCCACCTGGAGGCCCGGCGCATCACCAGGTATGGAGACATCACACCTGGAGCACTATGGGCTGCTTTCTGTCCCCAGCCATCTCTGGTGCAGGTTGCTCCAGGAGCGCAATGTTTTCCCTAACTCTAACTCTGCCTCCCCTCCAGCTGGGGGATCTGCAGCTGGAAGCAGAAGGAGGATGCAGGGGTTTCATTTACAACCACAGAAGAAAAAGGGCAGATAAATCAGAGCAGGGATTCACCCACCCATCAAGTACAAGGTGCAGAAGGATTTTGCTTCACCCTTTCCCATGGCAGATGTCCCATGCTATAGACAGTCAAGTTTGACTCTAATTCTCAAGCTGAGGGCTTTTTGGGAAAACATCAGGCAGAGCCTCAGACTTGATGGATGGCGGCCGTGGGGGTGGTTGGCTGGAATCCCAACGCCTACCAGCTACCTGCAAATAAAACCAGACGAATCTGAGAGGTGTCATGCAGAGTAAACAACATATTTTGAAGATCTTGGCAATAAATCTGTCCTTGCGTTCCTGGTAATTCTGCATCTCTCTGTCCCCACAGCGCCCGCAAACGTCCCATCCCCTACTACCGGCCCAGCCCGTCCTCCTCCAGCAGCGCCAGCAGCTATTCCTCCTGGTACAGCAGTCTCAGCCGCTCCCCCAGCCGGAGCAGGAGCTACTCCAGCCACCGGTCGAGCCGCAGCCGCAGCTGGAGCAGCAGCAGTGCAGAGAGCAGGAGCCGCAGCAGGAGCTCCGGCCCCAGGAGCAGCCGCAGCCGGAGCAGGAGCTGTGACTCAGGAGGCAGCTCCGACAGCCTGCGTCGCTAAGGAGTGCCGCCGGCATCACTGAATTCCTTGCATTCTCCACATCCTTCCCACCTACTTGGCCATCGATCGCAATCACCCCCGATACTGATGTGACAGCAGCACTGCGTCCCCTTTTCTCATTACGGATGGAGTAAGAGCCCTCGTGCTCCTGGAACAGCCCCTCTGCTGCCTTGCAGGGAGGGTGGATCCATGCAGCTCCCCCAGCCAGAGCTGGGGCTGGAAGAGGGGCCAGTGCCCTACAGAGGCCCTGCAGGCCCTACAGGGTCCATCCTCCTGACATCCCCATCTCCCCATCGCTGCCACTCTGCGACAGCTGCCAGCTGCTCCAAAGGAAGAAGATTTTGCCCTTCTCTTGCCAAAAGCGGGAGCCAGTGAATTAATTCCCTCTGGAGGAAGAGACACATTTAGGGAGGAATTTGCTGGGAAGCTTTGGTGATGAGTGGACGTGACCTGTCCCCCTCAAGGCAAATATCAGGTCCCTGATATTGGATCTCTCCTCCCGAGATTCTGCCCACTCTGCAGCAGGTCTCTGCCATGAGCATATTTATTTATTTCCATACGCCCAACTCTGCTATAAATAGAAGGCTAGAAATCCCTCCTGACATTAATTTCTGGGGGGTAAAAAAGCTATTCCCCCTCTCTTTCTCCTGCCCTTTCCTAACAGGGTGTTACACATCCACCTTTCACAGGGCTGCTCTGTTCCCCTCCATCAGTGTGATCGCTGAGAGGAGACACAGCAGAGGGGAGTCAGTGCTGCAGAGTGAGCTGGGGCTGCACGGTTCGCATCTCAGAGACCCCCAACACCCCTCCCCCAAAATTGCCTGTTTTTTTCCCAGGATCTGGGAGGGCCCTGCCTGCCTGGGCGGCCCTGCGGTTTTGTCTCCCTGCCAGGCTTGCCAGCCCAGCTGCCTGTGCAATTACTGTGTTTTGCAGAGCAACAAAGGCTTTTCCTAGCACGGGCTGAGCCGGTGCTGAGGATTTTCTTTCTCTTACAACACCTGGGTGCTTAGAGACGCTAATTTAGGTCTAAGACTTCCCTCCCTCCCTTTTTCCATCCCCTCCCCTTCCATCCTGCGTGATCATTAACGAGTTTGGGCTTAATGAGTCAAGGAGGTGTGTCATTGAAGTGTCACAGGAAAGGGCTAAGGGCAGCCAGCATCTGCCGGAGGGGGAGAGGGGTGGAAGAAAAGGCAAACCCACAGCCAGAGAGTTACCCACAGCTCCCACTGGCAGCAAGTAAAGCTGTGAGCGAGGTAAGGTCAAACACAACCTGGATGATTGCCTTATCGAGCATATGAACGTGTTATCAGTTGGAAAACACAGCAGGAAGGTTTATACTTCTGTGTAGCTGATGCAAGGGGAAATTTGATAACAGGGGCCCTTTTTCCCGTCTCCTTCTCACTGCAAACCCCTCAGGCTGTGGTTGAGAATTACAGACGAGGTGTTCTCGCAGCGGGTGCTGCTGCCTTCCCCCCACCCCGGCCCCACAGCAGCCTCTGGCTTCTCTGGTGGGGAGCACCCTTCTTGTAAAGGGCTGAGAACCCCATGCTTCTTCCTTAGGGAGTCCCTCCCAGTTTAGCATTGTCACCCTGTAGCACTCCATGAAAGGTCTGATCTCAGCGACCAGAGGCCAAATCCCAAATCTGTGGGTCTCTTCATGCCCCTCCGTGCCCCCAAATGCCGGCATGCACCTGCAGCAGTGAGCCGGATGGGCAACAGCTGGGAAAGCAAAGAGCTTTGTGCAAGCAATGCAAACAGTCCAACTACATTGAGCCGAGTTCCTGGTGGGATGGAGAACAAACACAGTGCTGGAGGCAGCAGCACACGCTGGCTATGGGACAAAGAGGTGCCACGTGGCTCTGGTACCCATCCACCTGCACGGCCGGTGGCAGCTGAAGGCTCTCAGGCATTGGAGCAAAACCTCTTTATTTATTTATTAATTATTTATTGACACACTTATTTATTATCAGTGCGTTCTGTTTCTAATGGCTATGGTCGGGACGGATGCGAGCGGTCGCCGTCGGCAGTATTTATTTATTTATTCTGGAGGGCAAAGGAAGGAGCGAGGAGTTATCGGGGCTCTCTGTGCTTGTTTGGTCCTCCCCATCGCATGGAGGTTCCCAGTGCTGGCCCTGCACTGGCAGGAGGAAGGACTTCCCCGCGTTGTTTTGCATTGTGATCCACCCATGGAAAATCTGAGGTTGGGCCGTGAGAGCATGGGAGGTGCCTGCAAATCCAGCCCTGTGACAGCACTAACTGCGTCTGTGTGTGCGTGTGTGTGTGCATTATGTTTCCTCAGTGGTATTTCTCTCTTTATTTTTTAACTTATTTAAGGTTTTTGGTACAACGCGCATCATCGCCCGTCCTGTCAGTGGGTTTTCTGTCACTTTGCAAGAAGCCTGTGAGCTTTTCTGTCTCTGTGCCTTTTGCCAGTGCTTCTTTTGTTGTATGCTCACTCACTCGTTGCTTTTATGGGATTTTTACTCCATGACCAGCATCTCAGGTTGCTGTTGTTTGCATGGAGCAGCTTCTGCCCTGGGGCAGTTCGGCCCTTTGGGTGAACACAAATCGCTGCTCATTGGCACTGGGGCTGCACACCAGGAGCTTTGAGGCAGTGTGTTGGCCGCCTCTCAGAAGTGCCATCTCAGAGGGTTTTCTTTCTTCGTCCTTCCTGCCTGTTGTGTTGTTGCCATCCCAAGTGCCCTGGTTGCCTTTCCACAGCAGAGCACATGATGCAGTGTCCCTCCCTGGGATGCTTCCTGCTCACTCAACCCCCAGGCTCCCTCCTTTCCCACCCCACACACCAGGTCAGGCTGCAGCAAACCCAGCCCAGCCCCTGAAGTGTTGCTGCAAAGCGCAGAGGAAGGATATTTCACAGAATCACAGAATTGTAGGGGTTGGAAGGGACCTCTAGAGATCATCGAGTCCAACCCCCCTGCCAAAGCAGGTTCCCTACAGCAGGTATTTCAGTGCACTGTTGTGTCATTCCATTTGGCCGCAGGTTGCAGCGCTCAGCTGTGCTCTGCTTTATGTTGACCGTAACTTTTCTCAATGTTTCTGTTGTTTTGGGTGGCTGAAGTTGTACCAAACCCATCTGCAATGGCCAATCGATGTTATTTTGCTATGCATTGTACATAGATCGAAAAGGCTGAGAGGACTTGGCCTCTTATTTAATATTTATTTCTCCTATTTATTGAGCATTACTTAGGAAAGCTGTTCGAGTCTCACCGTTGGCTCCATGGGATATTTGAGAAAGGGACAATTTTAGGTGCCAGACTGAAGTCTTTAATGTCCAGCAGGGTTGTGTTATCTGTGTGATAGAGGATGAACAAATCCTGTGACTTTTGCAGCTACCTGGAAGTCTGTGTGTGACCAGGATGATCTCTGAAGCACTGCAACATCCACTGCTGTAGCAACAGCTCTGTGATAAAGCAGCCTAAATTTTGGACTGTTGTAGAGAACAGCACCTTGAGCCCCATCCAGGGAATGGAGAGATTTAGAACAAAAGCCCAGACAGGAGAAAAGCTGCCAGGGAAACCGTGTCCCTGTTTTCTCTGCTGGTCAGTTCCTTACCAAATCATACCGGCACATCTGTTCATTCGACTTCACTGTAAAACTACCTTTGCTCTCCATGGAAATGCATACTGTATTCTTTAGTCTTCCTGGGGTATTCGAGTCGTTAGCCTGTTTAGAAAAGGGTTCCAATAAAAGTTCAGATGATATCTGGTTCACATCGCAGCCTGGTTTCTCGTGTTCCTTTTGGATGGGGCTTGGTGCAGTGGGATATTTTGGGTTGTTTCAGCTGCTGGGTGCAGCAGGGCATGTGCTTGCGCTCTCAGCTGCTGGGGATGAGGTCCTTGGGGCACGGGCTGAAGCTGAACTGTTGTGAGCTCAGATTCCTGCCAGCTGGGTCAGGCTTTCGCTGCCCTTTGCCATGCGATTTGGGTCATCCTCAGCTCACAGACAGTGTAAGCCAGTAGTGTAGATATCACACCAATTTGGGGGCGATGGGGATGCTCTGTGTCCCCTGATAGTATCAGCCACCAAGTCCTGCCGGCAGCTGAGATGTGCACCTGGGAAGGTTCTGGGCACAGCACTAACATGGGGCAGTGTCCCCAGGTCGCTTGGCAGACAGGAGGGCTCTGCGCTCCCCAGAGCTGACGTGGCGGTGCTGGCAAATGTGGGAGGTGACTGGGAGATTTGGAGTGACAACAGGAGCTAAATTGGGATCCCTGGAGAGGGACGTGTGACTAATGGGGATAAGCAAGGCGACAAGATGGATTCCTGGCCTGGGAGGGAGGATGGCCTGGAGCTACTTGGGAAACATGGGACTGGAGATCTCGGGGTGAATGTGGCCGGGATGGAAGCGGCCATGGGGTTGTCCCAAACCGTGTGCTGGTGTCCCCCCTGGAATAGCTGGTGTCACTTCGGGTGATGGGAGCGCTCAATCAGGCAGGGCAGAAGATAGAGGAGGACACTACAGCCTTTGCTGACTGCTGCTTCTGAGCTCCTCCCCGCATCTCCAGTCATACCCCAGTCCCCAGGGAGACCCCACAATGCCTGGCTGTGTCTCCCCACACACACCAGTGAAGGAGATGAGGAATAAGAGATGCTCCCCATGCAGGCAAAGGCAGCTCCCTGTCCAGCAGTGCCACGTCGCTGCTCCATGATTAATACCCTCTGAGCGACCAGCAGCCGCATCGCAGCGTGGCCCACAGCGCATTACGGCCTTCCTGCTGCAATTTGTTCCAGCAAGTCCATTAGAGAGATTGCAGATGCTGAAGAAAGCAAGGTAGAGACAGGAGGGAGCGAGGAAGCAGTGCAGCATCCGGCGCATCATTGCTGACTCTCATCGGCGTGCCGGGACCCCTGTGCTGGAACCCTGCTGCCACCAGGCACCCCAGTGCCACCAGCGCCAGGTACCCCGCCGCACCCCATCCCCTGCAGCCCTGTAATTAGCCCCGCGTGGCTGTGATTACGCCTCGCCCTGCTGCGGCGCAGCCAGGCACGCGATGAGGAGGAGGAGGAGGAGGGCGAGGACGGGGCCACGTAGGGTCCCACTCCCACACCAATGATTCTGGGGCATTGCTCCGGGCCCAGCCCCAGGCATCAGCCCACAATCCCAGCCACTTTTTGCTGGTGACGCATCTCCGGGTGCAGCGAGTGTACAGTGCGGGGCCCGGCCCCACCTGGGGTATTTTTGATGGATGACACAGGGGTGCAGGCAGCCCACCCTGAGCTCCCCGGTTATTTTTAGACAGGTGCCGAGAACCCTGCGCCAGCCGGGATCCTCAGGCCGGCGCGAGAGGTCAGCTGCACAGCCCAGATTCTCCACGGCTGTTTCATCCTCTCCAAAATACTCGGCTGACAGGGCAGGAATTGCAAAACACAGCCTCCCCCCCCCGCAGCGTATAAATAGCGCTCGCCCGGCGGTGGAAGGTTGCAGAAGTTTCTCGGCTCCGAGCTCAGGCATTTATTGCTGCTCTCGCCCAGGAGCGGTGGGGACACGGCGCAGTGATTGTGGGAGCGAGAGGGGAGAGATAAGCTTTTAATCTCGGGATATTCGGTTTGATTTTTTTTTTTTTTTCTCCCTCTCTGGACAAGAAGTTTTATTTTCCTCCGCCCGATCCCTGGGACCGAAGCCAACCAGGAAGCGTTTTCTTGCAGCCCACACCGTCCTCCCCACACTTGCTTTCCAAGCTCCGGATGCCTCAGCCCTGCTGAACCTCTTCCACCCATCGCGCTCTGCCCGGTGCCGGGCTCCCACCCAAACCCCCGTGCGTGGATGCGCCTGCCCTGGGCCAGGCTCCCCGGGGTATTCCGCAGCATTTGAGGCTCCACGAGGAGCACAGAGCCATGGCCGACAGCCAGCTGCCCTTCTCCTGCCATTACCCCGGCCGGCGGAGCCTCCGCGACCCATTCCGAGAGCCCGGTTTGACCTCGCGCCTCCTGGACGATGATTTCGGCCTCTCGCCCTTCCCTGGGGACCTGACGGCAGACTGGCCCGACTGGGCTCGGCCCCGGCTCACCCCCACCTGGCCGGGTCCCCTGCGTGCCCGCGCCTCCGCCATGGCCCCCGGCTACAGCGCCCGCTTTGGGGGGTACCCGGAGAGCCGCAGCCCCGCGCCCACCTCCCGTGAGCCCTGGAAGGTGTGCGTCAACGTGCACAGCTTCAAGCCTGAGGAGCTGACGGTCAAAACCAAGGATGGATACGTCGAGGTGTCAGGTGAGGGCTGGGGCGCGGGGTGTGGGATGGGGCTCGGTGGCATGCTCAGTGCTGACGCTTCCTTTGGGGTGAATCTCTGGGATTTGTGTTCCAGCTGGCACTCGGCTGTGAGCTGCCGAGAGGGGCCCCAGCCTGGCTGGGTTAATTATAGCTGGCGAGGACGGAGCTGAGGGAGATTCCCTTTAAAGGGGCCGAGAGTGAGGCAGCCCAAAGCACCTCCCAGAGCTCCAGCGCTGCACCCTGGCTAGAGCACCTCCTGGGGCTGCCAGCGCCGTGCCAGGCCGCAGCACTTCTTCCAGGGGCTGATCTGGGGGGGCACTGTGGGTTGGAGGGATATGGGAGGCCTCAGAGCTTAAGCCCCATCTTGGTGAGGCTCACACACAGCCCAACAGCACAGCAGAGCATGGGGACAGGATCCAAAGATTTGATCATGTCTGATGGCTCCTTCTTAAGCCCTGGCTCCTGGCAGCAAGCAGGGCTCAGGCTCCATGGGAAGTAAAGGTGTCTGGCGGGGAAAGCAGCTCTTCCTCCTCCTCCTCCTCCAACCAGCGCAGCCTCACAGGCCAGGCACTCAGCGCTGTTCCTTGTTGGATGTGGTGTATCCCTCCTCACGTGGGAGACACTCACGGAGGGAAGGGAAAACATCTGGTTTGGAAGAGCTCCTGGGGTTTGTTTATTTTGCTTGTTGGGTTGAGCCCTGAGCCCAGTGCGGCAGTGACACGCCTTTGTTCCCCCCCCAGGCAAACACGAGGAGCAGCAGGTGGAAGGAGGCATCGTCTCCAAGAACTTCACCAAGAAAATTCAGTAGGTATCACCCTGCCCCGGGGCGTCCTCCCACGAGCACAGCCCTATCCCCATGACATGCGATGGCTGCAGCCCTGCTTTTCCCATCCCAAAACCAGCCCTGTGGGCTCCTCCGGCCCGGATGTGAAAGTAGAAAGGGGTGCAAAGCACCGTGCTCCTATTTTGGAGCTGATCCCATCACCAGCCCCAAAATACACCAGTCCCCGGTGTGCAGCTACACGTGCACCCGCATCCACATCCGAGTGATGTCAGTCTGATCGCTATCGCGCTGACTCACCCCAGCAACAACAACAGCAGGGAGGGAAGGCGAGCCCAACTCCGAGGGCAAAGCACAGCGGTGCAGCAGCGGCTCTGCAGCTTCGCTTTACCAAAACCTCCCAGCAGAGCCGCGTGCGCAGCGGGTGGGAGCCAGCAGCCGGGCTCCTTTTATGGGCAAGGCATGGGTGCGACGCAGCAGCCAGAAGAGCGCGGGCGGCAGCGACATCCCATCAAACACATCTGCCACGGAGATTAAACAGAGCGCCAGGCAGCCCAGAGGCCTCTTTAATGTCCCCGTGCATTCCCAGGGGCTGCAGTAGTAACACAAGTGGGGGCATTGAGCCCGGCCGGGCGTCTTGCAGGGCAATCTCAGAAGGCTGCGAGCCACATGGCTGCACCATCTCCTAACCCCACACATCTCTCTGTCCCCCTCCAGGCTGCCCTATGAGGTGGACCCCATCACTGTCTTCGCCTCCTTGTCGCCGGAGGGGCTGCTGATCATCGAGGCTCCCCAGATCCCCCCCTACCAGCAGTACGGCGAGGGCAGCTGCAGCAGCGACATCCCATTGGAGAACCCAGAGGCCACCTGTGCCTGAGGGCCCCTGTGCCCCTTCTCCATTCCCCCGACCCTATTCCCCCCCAGCCCCGCTCCCCGGGCCCCAGCGGGGTGGCCCCGGGGCACGGCCTCTCCCGCCCCCTGGGAGCAGCTGCCCCACAGTGGTCTGACACTCTGGTAGAGGCTTTGCATCCATCAGACCCAGCAGAACGGGTGTCTTCGTTACGGTTCTTTTTATGCTGCAAGGTGAGCAGATGGGATGTTTGTAACAATAGTGAAAAAGTGCCCTTTTCTCTTCTTAAGTTGAAGTGGAATCCCGTGGTCCTGCGTCTTCTTCTTCTCTGTTTTTGGTTTTGTTTTGAACTCCATCTCCACGCCGGCCCCTTGGCAGCCTGCAGACATGCAGCCGGCAGTGGGGCCAATGGCACAGCCCTGTCCCAGACAGACAAACCCCCCACCAGACCTGCTGAGAAGTGTAAACTGTCTGCATGTTTTGTTTTTGTTTTTGTTTTTGTTTCCTTTTTCCAAAAAGAAACTTGTGATTTTACTTATCAGACTTGAGGAATAAAGATGAGTTGATGTTCTTAGCCTCTGCTGATCTTGACTGGGAGGTGAGGGTAGGGGGGCTGGGGATGCTCTAGACACTCTTTGCCCTCCGTATGGGCTCTGTGCCCTTTTCCTGGCTGGGGACACAAAGCAGCCCTCTGAGACAGGGAAGCTGTGTTCTCGCACCATCCGCACTCACATCTCCCCCCACCAGCTCCTGGCTGCAGCCCAACCCTGCAACCCAATGCCCAGGCACAGCAAAGTGGTGATGCCAAAAGGAGCAGACACCCAGTTTTCCATGTCAGTGGGACCTTGGAGTTAAAAATACAGCTCACATGTTG